AGCCGACAAAGACGTCCTACGCCCGCGTAGTCTCCAACGAGTCTGCACCAGCACCAACCGTCCTTTCACCCCTCCCTTCCAAGCTCCTCAGCGCGGCGGCTTTAACCTTCATCCCTTCGACCCCCCAACGCGCCTCCTCACGGGAGCCAACTACGCCCCCACTTACGTCCTCGTCAAACTCTTCCGATTCTCCCTTCTCATCGCCCACCTACAACTTCCACTTCCCCTCCCTCAACTCCGTTTCCCCTGCGGACCGCAAGGAGTCGCGCTCACTGCCGCCCCTGCTCCAGAAGGACGAGAGCGGGTTCTACGTCGAGGTCCCCGACCCGGATGAGGCTGAAGCTGACGCAGACGCAGACGCCGGTCCGGGCGTCACCCAGAGCCTAAATGGCACTCGGAGCGGGACGCCTCGCCGCCCGTCGGCGGCCTTCCTGCCATCCTTCCTCACCGACGGCTCGCCTCCGTCATCGCGCTCACGCAACTCCAAGACGCGCGAGATGGTCGACCGGCTCCGGTCTTCCACCAGCTCCTCCTCGGGCCGCAAGGCAAAGAAGTCGGACCGGAGCCGTAAAGCCTCTGGGTCGAAGGACACAGAGCACACAACCGAACCGGCTTCCCACAGCAAACCGGAAGGCGAAGGCTGGATCTCGGCCGTTGTGAGCGAGGATAGGTCCTCATGTTCGCTCGTCACTGACGACGGCTGGATCCTCCAGAGTACCTCTACCGTCGCCCCGCCCCCGTCGCAGATCTCGCACGCCAACGCGCACGGGAATGGACACAAGCGCGGCCATGGGTACAAGCGTTCCTCAGGCTCGTCACAATCGCACGCGTCGGTGTCAACCGCGCCGTCCTTCTCCCCCTCCACAACGACGGCCTCGCTCTCCCCGCCCCGCACATCCCCCCGCTTGGCGTTGGACCCGTCCCTACCCCACCGCACCCGTGTACCCTACTGTGTATGGCGCTCCGATACCCATGCAGTACACCGCGCGCGGCGCGTGGCCAATGGGTACCAGGCCCCGGCATGTACATGGGCTACCAGCCATTCGGAGTCCTTCCGCCCGTTGCTCCGTACGGCATGGTAGGGGTTGCGGCCGTCGCGCCCACCGTGCACCAGCCGCACCCCACGCGCTGCAGCCCACGCCAGTCTTCTATGACGGCAAGGTCAAGCCCGTACAGTGGTACGTCCAGTCGCTGCGCAATAAGCACTAGTGGCGTTCTGACCTCCGGGTCTCCGTCTTTCCGCTCCCCCCGCACCCCTTCCGTCCCCTTCCCCTCCTTCATCCACAGAGGTCGTCCTCCTCCTCCCTCGGGCGTTTCTTACGTTTCACGGATTCCAAGTAGGTAGTTGTTCCTTGTATCCCGATTCCATGTTCGTCGTACCGTGTACCTGTTCCCGTCTGTTGATACACACACATACATACGCACTCCCCAGCACTCCCATCTCCATCGTCTTGTACATATGCACACCCCCTCACGCTCCGCGTTTACGACCCACTCCTTCCTCTTTTCCCTTTTATCCGGCCCGCGACCGCGTTGGACACGCTCGCCCCCCGCTTGCACCCGTACACCGCTCACTGTCGCCCTCGTCCGTTTCTTACCCATCCCGCCCGTCTACGTCCGGCGTCTGGTATTATTGGGAGCCCTCATCTCGACCTCCCCCCTCCCGAGCTTCTCTCGGCCGCGCCCCCGTGCGCCCTTCGTTCTGCCAATATATATCTGTACTCTTCTCCTCTCTTTCGACGTGGCGTCCGCGTGGTGGGTAACGTGTTGCCGCCAAGAGCACACATCAGAAAGCAGTAGCATGCACGAAGATGCTGGGAGGCTTCTGCGCCGCGAGTGCGAGGGGCGCGAGAGCGCCGACCGGCGACGACCGCATGCGTGTGCTCGTGCATCCCAGGCGGCGCGCCGCTGTCTGTGCCCGCCGCCGCTGGGATACACGGCGGAGGGGGCGTTGGGTGAGTCGGAGACCGGCCGAGTGGGTGGCAGAAGCGACCGCGGGGCTAGTGGCTGGTGACGGATGCAGGGGGCGAACGTACAGGAGGAGGGACGCCGCGCGCGAGGGTGGGGTCCCGAAGGTCTTTTCGGTTTCTTCTGGAGGGGCAGCTGGTGCTGGAGTGAGGCCTTGAGGAAATGGGGGCTACGGAGCGAGAGGAGACGCGCTCGCTGTGGTGTGCTGGTAGGTGCACGCCAGCGCGGCGGTCGGGACGAGGACGAGGTGGCCTGGCCTGCGAAAAGAAAGGCTCGATTATGGCTGAGGACGACACTGGAGCGGATGCTGGAGGAACGTGCAGGATAGCATAACTCGTGCGGTTCTCGGCGTGCCCGGGCCAGTTGTGGGGGGGGGGGGGTGAGGATCTCGCGCGCGGAGGATGCTCGTCCTGCGTGAGGCAGACCTTGACGAAAATAGCACGCGGCCGGCGCGACGTCTTAGACCGCATCGCACTCGCGCGCGGATGTGCCGTTGGGAGGCGATCTCGCGTCGCATGAGAGACTCAACGCCGGCATGAGGTAGCGGGCGCACCCTCGTCAGCGCGGGAGCGAGCAGCCAGGCAGCTACGTTGTGTGAAGACTGAGAAAGATGATCGTTCGTTCGAAAGGTGCATCAACTTCTGTAATGCAGCGGGTACAGAAAAAAAGTTCATACTGCATGGCGTCAGACAAAACGACGGTGATAACGGCGGAGAGCGCCGATGTAGCGGGTAGAGCAAGGAGCCTGAGGCTTGAAGGCTGATTTTCTTCCGCGTGGTGTATGGGGTCTGCGATGATAGTGTCTCGCTCGAAGAAGCCGAATGGCTAGCAAAGAGTCCTTGAGTAGTGCAAGTGTGCTGATTTATTTGCCTCGAGTCGAAAACGCGTACCGCCGCCAATACGAGACTACCAGCCAGGCTGAGGGTCTCGGCACTCCATTTCATGAGGGAGAAACTGACGCGTTCCATGTATGCAGACGCGCGTCCGTTATGGCGAGGTGGCCATCGGAAGCTCGGCGTTGATAGAGACGACGAAATCAAGATGCGGTCGTAGTAAACGCTGTTTTTGTTCGTTCAAGTGGGAGTAAGTAAGAGCGAAAGGCCAGCGTGGCTCCAAAATCAAACCGTCTGGTCCCCGGGGCCCGGGCCGTTGACCCCGTCAAATTGGTGCACCGCCTTGCGCCAGCCCAAAACTTCATTCGGACCTACATCAACGCTCGAGGGAGATTCATGCAGTCCGCACATTCCACATTTCGAAACGACCGAAGTTAAAACGGAGGTCATCACTTGAGCTCCCACCACCTCGAATCTCGATGGCGGTAGTCCGGGCCTACCAAACGGCAGTACTATCTCACTGCTTAGCCAGATCCCCTTTTCACGCGGTTAATTAAAAGTCCACTTCCGGAGGCAAAGGACTCAGGTCTGAAGCGTACGAGTAAGATGTTTCAAAGTCGTGTTCCCTCGCTGATGCAGGTTTTCAGGGGACCGCAGTGGGTTGGTGAATTTTGCGCGTTTCACCGGTTTGCGAGCTGAGACACCTCGGGCGCACGCGATCGCAGCTACCACGGAGATGATATCGATGCGCCTCGGGCATGTTTCGGAGGGCCGTAATAATATCGTTGCTGCATGCATCGCACGGAGGCGGAACGCCGCGGGAGGCTGAGCCCTACTACCAGGGGTCGGCTACCCTGCATTTACCTGCACTGTGATGACTTGAGAAAAATTGCGATTGTGACGAAACTGCATCCGGCTTTAGCAGCACTAGTGACTGATGCCGAAGGACGAGTCTAGGTTGCCCGAAATCGCCGAGCGCATCTCAGCGTGCAGAGCTCTTCAGAGATCTGAATTACAGTACATGGATATGAAATCCAGAGATCAGTGAAAAACGGAGTCGAGGGAGGAACTGTGACCAGAACCCGCAGTGGTCCGCAGGAGCACAGGTGTTGCGCAATCTCGATGCTGCAGATAATGTACTCGGCGTTATGACGAACAAACGTTCACATTCGGGCTAGAGATTGATGCCGATAGAGTCGGAAACGCTAAGATTAAACCAAAACGCGCGCGCATACTGTCCTCGGACGTTGAACATGAACATTTCATTTGCACGTTGTATGGGCGTCAGAGACATCACTACTGATACATTGTCCAGTGGTACAGTTGGGAGAAGGCAGAGGCCAAAGGGAGGGTGGAGTAGCACGGGGACGATAACGGAGAGGACACACGGGCCGGCGACCGACCGTGGATACGATAAACATCTAAACTCACACTGGCGGGGAGCGACTGCTCCGATTGCACTCCCCAGTTTCGCGCCCGCGCACGCTTGGCGACACAACTTCCAGCGTCGGAGACCCCGAGGCTCCTCGACACCTCGACATCTCCTGGTCCCTGCTCTCAGGCCAGGTTCTCGTCCGCGCGCTCCGCGGCGTACGCCGCGCCCTTGCTGGGCAGCGCCCCGAAGCGGAACGCGTCGAGGTCGAGGTCGAGACCCATGTCGACATCGTCGAAGTAGCCGACGCTGTCGCCCGCGCGGCCTTGCATCGCGCGCGCGAGCTGCTGCAGGCGCTCCGTCACCTTGTCCTCCGCGACGGGGGACGAGAGCCCACCGACGGCGAGCGACGGGCGACGCGTGCACGGCGGCGCGCCGAAGAACCACTCCACGGCGGGCGAGGACGAGGGTGCGAGCGCGAGCGCGGGGTCGACGCCGCTGCGGTCGAGGTTGAGGCCGAGCTCCGCGGGGTCGTCGAACTCCCAGGTCGAGTCGAAGCTGTCGTCCATGTCCATGTCGACCGAGGATGCCACGGACGCGAAGCTCGGCACGCGGCGGTCCGGGAGGGGGCGCGAGCGCGAGCGCCGGCGGGAGAACGAGAGCGGGGTCGAAGGGCGTGAGGGTGAACGCCCGCGTTCGGGCTCGTCGAGCTCGAGCTCATACTGCTTGCGCTTGGAGAACGGGCTCGGGTTCGGGCTGAGGCTGAAAAGCGGGCTGAACGAGACGCCGGAGTCGGCCCCGGGGGAGAACTCGGAGGAACCGGGGGAGAATGGAGCGTGGCACCGGGTGGCCTCTTCGTGGGCGTAGTACTCGGAATTCGAGAAGAAATGGTCGTGCGTCGGCGTGGTGGGGCTTTTACATTCATCTTCTAGTTCGACCTCAGGAATGGAGGGGAACTGGAACGTGGGGGACATTGGGAGCGTGGGGTGGGCCACCGCGAATTCGGGAGCGGTGGGAGTCATGAAGTGCGGCACGCCTGCCTTGGGCATCTTCAACGTTGCGCGGACGAGAGGGGCGAACCGAAATGTTAGATGGAACAGAGAAGGATTTAAGGGCTGTACATACCATAGCGAAGAAAGGATCCATCAAGTTGGCATTCAAAGGGCCCTCCAAAGAGTTCCTGCTGCACGGAGTCGGAGGTGGAGGGGACGGGAGCGGGGCCTGCCACGCATCATCCTTGTCCTGAGCCAGAGAAGGTGGGACGAACACCCACAACGCCTTGGACTGGGGACCGCAGATCATGATGAGCGAGATTACTTGAGGGATGAAATGACAGATACGCACCTGCTTCATCGCGCGGCCGAATGTTTTAGAGTCCATCGCGGATGAAGAGCTAGGGATCGAAGTGGCGATGCGGGACGAGGATGGAGCGGACCTTGGCTGTGAGGGTGAGGGTGCGTCGGAGGGCGGGTGAAGAACAGGAGTGGCTTTATATGTGCCTCGATGTGCGGGTTGGTGCAAGTACAAAGCTGCCAAGGGTACAAAGGCCGAGTGGCAAGGGCCAAGGTGTCAGTAGCGTGCGGCTCGCGTGGTAGAAGCGCCTGCGAAAGTACGGGAATGAGAAACGCCATGGAGGAAAACTATCTGCTTTTAATACGTACACGGAGTATGGGGGTTTGGTCAAAGAGGCGGCGCAAGTGACAAGTCCAGAACCACTACCACTCTGCACGTTCATGGCACAGGGTTTCGCTTGGTCTTTGCTTGAACAGTAGCGAGCTGCCGCTGAAGCAGTGGCCCGAGTGGCTGGCGGAAGATATAAAGCCAGGTTTCGCATCCTCAGAGAGGAAAAGAACACAAGAACGCTCATCGCGATGCAAGCCAGCACACATAAGCCGCTTTCCCGAGAGAATAGTTGCGATGAAGCGATTATTCTGCGGGCGCGTCGAGTACGGATAACGATGGCCACAGCCACGTCAATCGGCGATCCTGCACAGAAGAAACATCAGTCACGAGATGATGAGGTCGTGCAAGAGGATTCACCGCCCGTGAGTCTTGTCTTCATGATATGCGAACAATCACGACTGACGTAAGGCAGAAGAGCATTGCGTCGCAAGAGCCATCAGGGAAACTATACGCTAGAGAGTTCGTCATAACAGGTCCTGCGAATGTTCCCATTACCTGTATGTTCTGCTGTCTTCAGTAAAATGGACAATAAATCCATCATCAGAGCACCACCGTTAGTGACAAAGCCGAACCTGCGTTGCCAAAGATGTTAGTGGACTTGCAACATGGCGGCATGGTGCAGTCCTTTTCAAGAGTTGACAATATCTGACAGCAATGTCCTCTCCGAACGAATGTTGTTGCCACAAAAAGGAAGAGGCGCAACCGCAGCCCGCTCAATGGGCGCCTGTTCCGCCGGGAAATTCCGTTAAGCCCGAAGTCTGACGAGGCACGCGTCCGCGACTTGGACCGCGAGCGTGACCGTTCTTGACATCTTCCACCATCTCTCCCTCGACGCATACACCCACCGACCCCGACCTCGACCTCGACCTCGACCTCGACTGTCGTTAGAAGTTGCCTCGCGCTCACCTCGCCGGTAAGCCACAGAAGTCCCTCTGACCCTCCGGCATGTTGCTGATGCACCTGCCGCACCATCATTGGCCAACAGATGTTCCCGCCCGCGCGTGTCGTCGCGCTCGGCGCAGCTCCCCTCCCGGTGTCCCTGCCAGGCCTGGGGACGAGGCTGAGGCTGTCCGCCGTGCGGGCGATCAATGTTCACGCCCCATCCGCCAATCACCACGCGTCCCCGTCCGAGGCCTCGTGGAGGTTGCCCGCGACATTCTTCTGCCTCTACAGGCTGTTTCTGCGCACGGCAGCCGCGTCGGTGCTGCATGACCGCAAGACGAAGAAACAGTTGCGGAGGATATACCGACCGATGTTCACCGAAGCGGGGCGCCGGATGCACGAGCTGCAAGACGAGCGGCTGGGCCGGGAACTCGGCCCAGGCGAGCGTGCAGCCCGCGTCGCGTGGCTTGCCGAGTGGGAGGAGCGAGGTGAGTGGCCTCGCTTCCGCTGTGCGCACTCAGTCCCTGCGTTCTTGATTTCGCCTCGCTGCATATATGCGCCCTCGTTATGGCCCGGGAGCAGATCTCATAGTCCTCCGAATCTTAGACGGATGGTGGCACTCCACTAGACCGGGCCTCGAATGGTTTTGCGCCTCCTATCCCCGGCGCAGACGGGACCAGTGCCGGACAAATATTCACTTGTCTCTGCGCATGAGTTTCAGTTCGTGGCAGCCTCGGTTCCGCCTTGCACTTCGCTTCCGGCTGGTGTCGGAACGGTCGGAGGGCGACAGAACGATATCACCAAGCATAGCTGAGCATATCCATGTTCCGCGCTCGCTGGGGCACGCATGACAGTCTATTGAATGGCATCAGTGGATCCGCATCTGCTTCCCACAGCTCTCCGTAGTTCCGTGACTCTTGAACGGAGCTAACTACGGAATATATGCGCGTTTCGTGGGCGCAGAGGGATATTTTTATCCGCCCGGTATATCACGGCGCCGGGGGCCGTTGCAAACTGTAGGACTGCTATGCCGCGCAAAGCGTCCTTCTAGCGGGGTCTATAAAGCAAATTGCAGGTCGAGCGGCTCGGCCAGAGTTCGGGCTACCACTTAATGATGATGATTCTTCACGCTGACTCTCCCATCTTTGACATATTCATTCGACGATGTTGTCGGCACCCGTCAACGTGATATCACCGACCACCTTTCCACCACAAACGCGCACTATCTACCACACAATTGGCACAACTTCGCCGCCGTCAAATGGACCTGTCAACGTCGAACCTTCGGCGGACCAGTGGACAACACGCTCTCATTCCTCCACACCTCCGCCGTCGCACGCGGCGTACCCCATCGCACGCTCCGAAACTTTCGCGCGATGCAACTCTTGAACTCGCACGTCTTCGTCAACCGAGCGAGGCTTCCGCAAGGGCCGGTGTGGTCGGGCCAGTTCCCGCTTGACCATCTACGATACCGATCGCCGAAGTTCCCGCCGTTCAAGCCGACATCCCAGGACGCACTGGCCACTCGCGGGATGCACATGCTCGCAGACACGATCGGCATGGCGGAAGCTCAAGGGCGGCTCACCCTCGGCCGGGTTGGGAAGCTCAAATGGTCGCAGCACCGGGTGCTTAGCGACTCCGCGAAAGCTTGATCATAGTTTCGTCGTAGGAAACCGTAGCGTAGACTCCGTTGGCCCAGATCCGCGCCATCGCGAGGGCGAGAGGACAGAACAGGCGCGTACGGTTTCGGCACTGGTGGCGGCACCGACCGGTTGGTACCAGTGTAGCAGTGGCGGACGGCCTCAAGACGACACCGGTGGACAGTCTGTGCAGCCAGGATACGAGCCGTGGGACGAAGAACGATACTTGTAAGACGACGGATTGGACAAGGACCGGAGGCTGAGCGGGATGGGGCAGGGGGCGTATTGTATGCGGCGGGCGGGCGCTGGCGAACATCGTTACAGCCTCGCGCTGGTGCGAGCACATCACCTTTCCAACACTCGGCGCGCATACCGGTGCGTGCTCCGTTACCATGAGGGCGGCACTTGCCCCAGGGGGGAAAGCTCTGGTAACGTTCCGTCGGGACTCGGCGTTGCTACGGTGGGCGCACAGGCCGCGTCTTGCGCCACATTGCGGTTATTGGCGTCATCAGACTGACGAGACGTGCAGATAGGATACGTAGTTGCGGACGTTCGCGGGCGGAGACCTTTGCAAACTAGGGCGCATCATATGGGACTGTACTTCAGCTGAGAAGGTCGGCCTGCGCGAGACGTCCTGCAAAGAACTGTGAGTGTTTCGATGCACCTGCATCCATTAGTAGGATGTTGATGGTCTAGGCCACAGCCGAAAACAACCAGTGATCGAGGTCTCAGATCTCAGTGCAAGCGCCTGTGCGCTGGCGGCCCGTGACGGTCAGACTTTGCTTCAAACTGCGAAAATCCTTTATGTACACTCATGCGCACGGCCAACATCGCAGATATCCTCATGAATTGCAACACCGAGCACTACCAAGAGCACGCGGCCGTCCACGATGCATTCGCCGCGCCATAGTCCGCTGATTGTGCACCTCGGACATGTGTGGCCACTGGTCAGCCGTGCCACAAGGACGGATTGTGGGCGGGCATGCACGCCGAAGATTCCCTTTTTCCTTCGGAACGGTTGTGCCCCTGGGCCTGCAGATCCGCGCCAAATGCCGCGTGCTTCCACCTGGAGTGCCCAAGTGAGCTTTTGTCGCGCCAGGGAGCGCCGGGCGCTGATTGATCCCTCCCTCCTCTGCAGATCACCCTCGGTCGGGCTGTCCACTCTCCCAAGCGCTCGGCGGCGCTGCGTCAAACAGACAGCGATACATATACCCATCGCCAGGTGCGGGAAGCTGATCGCACCCCGTCACGTCCGCACCTGCTCGAGCCGTTCTTCCCTCGCTACCACGTCAATCATGGCAAGCGGTCTCCACAGCCATCAGCCGGTGGCAGGCAGCTCATGGCGGCCTCATGACGGCCTTCCCTCGCCCATCGCCAACGTCATTTCTTCTGCTTCTCCCCGTGTGGCGCCCTCTTCGCCTTCCTCATCAAGCTCGGGTCCGGTGACATACATATCCCTCCAGATTGACGTCCCAGCCCACCCACCTTCCTTTGTCCGCCCCACCTTTCCTTTCCCCCGTCCCGCCTTCTCCCCCCTCCGTACGCCCAACGCGCGTACGGGCTTAGGGCGCAGAGGTGCTTTCAAGACTTCCCGAACCATGGCCGCTGTGCGTCCAAAGCTCACCGTGTCCCCCGCGAGTGCGGCGCAGTATGCCCGGAGCATGTCCGATTCGCCGGCCACCGACTTCCTCGACCTCACCCGGTCCTGCCCCACAAGCCCGTCGGTCGAACCGGCACGCGCATCTGCTGCTAAGGGCAAGGTATGTCACTTTGTCCGTCCCCTTCTGTCCTCATTCCCCCACATCCCCTACGTCGCTCTTATGGGTTGCTGCGTCTCCATCCGCACGACAGTCACTCACACAGCCCACACAGGGCTCATCTGTTCCACAGCCTAGCGTGAAGAAGATGCGCAGGCGAGTCGCGCTGCTTAGCGGTGTGCATCTCAACCTCCCGAGCTCCCCAGTGGTTGGCCCCTCCCCCCCGGGCAGCTCGCGTGAGACTGAGTATACCTTCACTGCGGAGTGGGACTCGACGCAAGACGAGTTCGTGTTCTCGGACATCGAAGGCGCAGGGCCAAGCACGAACACACCGTCCTCTTCGTCGACGTCGTTCACGACGGGGGTGCGCAGCACGCGCACCTTTGCGGGTCCGTTCCCGTTCGACGTGAGCGAGGACGAGATGGAGCTGCTGCTCTCGCCCCGCGCGTGCGCGACGTCCATCGCGCGCTCGCTCTCCCTCAAGCTCGCCATGGCTCATTCGATTTCAAATCCTTCAACATCTTCTACCTTGTCCCCGCTTTCGCGCTCGCCTCTTTCCCCCGCTATCTCCGACATTTTTGACCTGTACACGTCGACACCCAACAAGGCTTCATTCTCCGCGCCGGCGGGCCATCGAGCGACGATTCCGACTACGCCGATTCCGACACCTCGTCGTCTTCCATTGGCACCCCTTCGGACATGTCCCTCTCACCGCCTTCCTACAAGGACGCCCACTTCGACCCCCCGGTTATCTCCGTCACTTTCTTCGAGCAGGAGAACACGGCACCCTCGGTGGCGTACGCGCTCGGCCCTGCTTCGGCGGTTGAGTTTTCTCACACTCTGCCTGAGAAGACCCGCGTCTTTGCGCGAGCACCCCTCTCCGCTGGAGGTGTTTCCGCCAGCGCGAGCGAACCGCGTCGCCCTCGGCCCCTCCCGCGGCCACTTCCGCCGGTGCCCGCCCGCTCCGGGTCGTCGAGCGGTGCAGACGTCGTACGTCACTGAGTCGCTGCCCGCGCCCCTTGGCGCCGTCGTGTCTGTGCTGAAGGGTGACGCTGACGGGCTGCCGCTTGCCACACAGCGCCGAGTTCGCTCCGTGCCGCGCCCGCTCCCGCCGTCCCCTCGGGGATGGTCGCACGCACGGGGGACGAGCGACCCCGCGCTACGATCGCCGTCCTTCCTCGACATGACCACCCTTCCCGCCTTGGCCCCGACGCGGTCTTCGTCTCTGTTCTCGTCATCGACCCAGTCCGCCACTGCGATCGCGCCGCCATCGGCGTGGGCGCAGAGGATGGCCCCGACGCAGCGCGTCCGACACGCTCGTTCGGTCAGTGCCCTCGGGTCGAGCTCGGGTGGCTCGCGCCGCTTCTTTCCTGCTTCGCCCGGCCCCGCGCCCCGCACGCGTCCTCCGCCGCCGCCAACGGTGCTGTGAGCGGTGTGCCGGCGCAGTTTAGATTCGTCTCTTCGTTTTACTTTCACTCTTCGTTTTCTCCTTCTACCTAAGACGAATCAAGTCCATTAGTTTCTTCATATTATGTTCGATTATTCATTTTAACCTTATTCACTGCTGGTCACAGCATCGTTCGTCTACATACCCTTTCTTTATCCGCACTGGCCCTGTGTACATCACAGTTCGCGTCATAAACTCCCTCCACGCACCCTCCCATCCATCCATCACCCTCCATCATGTCTGCCGTCCGCACCCACCCATACCCTCCTTCGCCCGCCCACCATCACCCCCTCCCTGCCACACAACGCCGTTGCATAAAAGTTCCAGGACTGCATGTTCTACGCAGCAAAGTCAAGCTATTCTATGTAGTCCTAAGCACGCAGCCCCCATAATTGTACAAACAGCCTGCAGCATCGCACCCTCCCGCGCACGCCCGACATCCAGCTCCGCTCCCCCGCCTCTCGACCGCCGGCAATCGGCATTCAGCGTCCTCGCCTAGTGCCCACCCTGCGAACTCCCCCGACACCGCGGCAGCCCACGCGTGCACCGTGGGCCTGAAACGCTCCAGCGTGAGCATGGCTGGCTCGCGAATCGGACGCACATGTTCTCCGCGCGTTCTTTGTGCATGATCGGGGCCTCCCCGACGCGCACGCGAGCTCGTGCCGGGAGCACGGCGGCCCAATCGCCCCATCACGCATCAGGCATCCCGACACTGAGCATCCACAACTCGAGCATCGGGGCGCGCCCACAGGCGATGCACTGCGCGGCGCGCCGCACGAGCGCCACGCCCCACGGCGCCGCACGCCCGCGCAATGCACTGGAGGCGCGACTCGCGCCGTCAGCAAACATCGCGTTTCGACGTGCGGGCGTGGATGCTCACAACCGAGGAGGTAGCGGCATGGACTGCCGGGGTGCTGTGGCTACTGCGCTTGCATATGTACATACTGCAGAGCAAGCTCGTGGAGACCAGAGCCTCCCGGCGAGGCACAGATCTGCGCTATCCTTCCACGCCACCGCGTCGCGCGCCGGGTGCGCCCCGACCGGCGACTCCCATCGAGCGCGTTCTGATGAGACCCAGTTAGCGTTGGCACTGCGGACGGCGGACGGCAGCGTGCGGCAGCGCGCCCTGGCGGAACGGCTTCCCTGCCCCGAGCCCGCCGCTCCTAGACACTGGACTGTTGGACAGACAGACGGTCGAACGCGAGCGCCGCTCGCGAGGAGCGCACCCCTCCGTCGGATTGCCAGTGCCGCGTGAGGAGTGCGCGGCGCGCGTGATGCGTCCTCCGCGGCGGGGGATGCGAGCGTGCGACTCCGCCGGTGTCTAGGTAGCCAATGGGCGTGGGTCGCGCACGCTCACGGAGACAGGTGTGCTGTCGGAGGCCAGGCCCACATTGCCTGCCAGCATCGGACCGGGAAGCCTGAGACGGATGCGCGCGCTTGGTCCGAGTGAGAACGGATCCATGTCGGCGCAGCTGTCAGACCTTGTCAAGACACCTCGACATTATTGTGGCAAGTACGGCAGCGACACCCGCGGAAGAGCAGCTTCTTCACGCACTTGCCCTCCCGAGAACGCGCAGAGCCCGAGACCCCCATACTATATCTGAACTTCGGAGGCGACCGCCTGGGAGCGGGGTCCCGCGAGCGTGGTGGCGCCGTCAGCCGCACGCTCGAGCTCAAGCACTTGAGCCGAGCCGCACCACACGGTCACGAGCAGCGCCGCAGACGGCGGCGGACGTCGCGCTGCACCTCGCACACCCAACGCGCGAAAGGGGCTCTTCTGTCCCGCGCGTCCACCGGAGTCCCGTTTCGTAAGAACACATCCATGGAAGCCTGCCCGCGGAACGTCGAACGAGGCCGGTGGGTGATACTGCGCAGATCCCATCCACCGTGGAGGCGGCGGGCAGGCGGGGAACATCGAAGGACCAGGTGCGCGCGCACGGGCTCCCGCGCACGTCGGTCCAGTCACACTGTCGGCGCCGCCCACACGCGTACACAACACCACATCGCCGATTCCGGCGGCGGAGAATGCTCGTCCGGGCGGACATTGCACCCATGCCGGTCAGCCGTCGTGCCCCTCGCTGCTCCTTGCAAGTCAGTGGCGGGATATGCTCGGTGAGCACTCGAGAACGGCGGCGAGGGAGCTTCGGGTGCCCACGGCCGTCCCGCCAGGACAGCCTTGTGGTTCGCCCAGCGCCGACGGACGTCGTGCATCTGATGCCTGCGCTTCCGCCTCCCACCACCCTCTCCAGAGCTGAGCAGGCCGACGTCCCTGCGGAGCCACCAGTCAGGACCAAGACCGATCGGTCGAGCTGCATTCAGTCCGCGTGCTCGTCTACGGACTCGTGTCACCGTCGCCTGTCCATCCGCCTCCCGTTTTCCATATCCTCCTCCCGTCGTATGTCCACCGACACCCCGCCGCTGTTGCGCCTCATTGTTCGCGCCCGGCGTGCTCCACCTCGGCCATCGCGCTCGCGACGTCCCTGCAAAACGCCTCGTCGCCGAGGAGGCGCACGACGCCCGCGGCGGCGAACTGCGCGCGCGGCGCGGGCCTGAGGTGGGTGATGTACAGCCCGACGCCGCGGTTCTGAGAGGGTGAAGGTGAGTGACGTTCAATTCCGCACGCCTAACTGAGATAGAGAGGGAGCGGGCGAGGGAGATAGAGATGGACGGGCGCGATGATGGGGGAGCGCGGCGCCTTGTGAGTTCCGCGAGGGAGCTGGCACGAACACGGTCCCGCGGGAAAAGATCGGGGCAGGTGGAAGCCGATGAAGCGGGAAAGAGGTATGATCGCGAACCGGCGTACCTTGTAAGTTTCCACGAGCTCGTAGAAGATCTGCACCGCCCTGTAGATCAAAGATTGCACGTGAGCAAAGTGTTGCACATCCACATCGCTTAGAGCCCTACACGGACGGGCACGCAGCCTTTGCCGCCCGTCTACAATCTCCAGAGATGGAGAAGATACGCGGCCGACAGAGACAAGACGGGGACCGGCGACCGCAGCAAACGTGACGCGAAGGCGTCTGCACGATATATCGCAAAGAAGCAAATGGAACTCACGATGCGTCGATGGTCTCCACGTCTGCGAGATGGAAGACGAGGACGTTCGCCGCGTGTCGATGCGGCTCGTCCGCGGGGTGATGCTTGTCATGCCCATAGAGCTCGAGTCTGCGCAGCCGTTCTGCATACAGATGTATCAGCGCTGTTCTCGTGATGTAGCACCGATGACAGGCGCGCACCTTTCAATTGTGCAGTGTTGGCTGTGGAGAAGTGGATCGGGAGAACGACGTCAGCGTGTCAGCCACCATCAAAATAAGGCATTGGTGCCAAATAATAAGATGTACCAAAGTCCAGGTTCTCGCGGATGCGAACGATGAGCACACCAGAAGCATCTTCCTCGGCGTCCGGGTTCTCGTCGATGGGCTTCCACCTGTCTGTTCCCGGGATCCGACCCTGCGTAGTGAAGCGGCGAATGTGGGTGAGCGATACCATGGAAGCCGCCCCGTTGGCTGGTAGGGAACTCACGAGAATCGTCATGCGAGGCCGCGAGGACCGGTGCACGACTAAGAGGAGGGAGATAACGACGCTGACCGCGATGCCGATCTCGACATTCCAGATGATGGTGAGGAAGAACGTGAGGGACATGAGGAGGAGATCGATCCATGCCCGCATCCTGTGCATCAGGAATGTGGTTAGTGTTTGCGCCCTCACGACCAGGGGTAGATGTCGGAAGATATAGCCGATGATTGAGTGTACGCACTTCAGGTAGAACTTCGCATCGTGAGGGAGCTCGCCGAGCAGGGAGAACACGATGAGGCAGATGCTGTGTGGCCAGTCAGTTTGTTTGCCGCGCGTGACCCTGACAGGAGGCGCCGCACGTACATTGAAGCTAGCACACATTTCGGTAGGTAGTACAGATACGGGAGCAAGAAGAAGGTAGCGAGTAGCACAAGTGTCGAGGTGACGAGCGACGCCATTTGCGTGCGCCCGCCGAGGTCTCCGTTCAGTTTGGACCTAGACGGCGTTGGTGTCAGCACCCGCTTCGCAGAATATGTTCAAAGGCTGACGCTCACCTCGTGATGGATCCGTACGCGGGCAATGTGCCCGGGACGAAGGAGCCTACGATGTTTCCGGCTCCGAGCGCAACAAGCTCGCGGTTAGGGCTGATACTGTATCCGAACCTGCCCGCATTCTGCTTAGCGGCGACGATGCTGTCCAGAAAACCGACCACGGAGATGAGCCTGCCCCTCGATATATCAGTGGACGCTTCCCATGACAGATATCACAGCGCCTTACACTGCAGTTGAAGTAGTGCGTCGGAGATACTTGAGGGTGGCCTTGGTCAATGGGAACGACACAAACGAACTGCCGGAGCTGATCGGCACCGCACCCAAGATCTCCACCCCGTCATCGTCCCAGTCGAGTTCGCTGCATAGAACTGGAAGACAGGATCAGCGTTGAGCATTTGGTCGTTTCAACCAATAGAAGAGATACATACGTGTCGAGACGACGACCACAATGAACACCTCCGGAATGCGATAGATGAACCAATACTTCTTGAACGCCTGTTTGAAGGTGCGAACGAGCACTAGCACAGCAAGGGCTCCAAAACTGATGATTGTAGTAAGGCGGTGGGCGTGCGTGAACGCATTTTCGATCAAAAACAATAGCTTCTCGAGTGTCGACTTGGGCTGTAGAACATGCTCGAGTTGCGTGAGGCCGAACATGGGAATGAGCTGTTCACTATCTTCGAGGTCAGGTTGTGGCAGGAACGAGTAGTGCATATGTGAACTTACATCATGATGACGACGGCAACGGCCGTGACGAAGCCACGTAGCAGAGCACGGCTAAGAACGACATCCAAGAACCCGAGACGGAAGAGGCCGAGCAAAAAACTGATTAGACCAACCTGTGGGGGCTCGATGAGACATAGAAACAGTCATGTTGGGAAATACTCACTTGGAACGTTATTATGGTGGAGATGGTGATAGATAGAGCATTAGGGTCTATGGGATGTGTGTGTGGGTCGGCGTGCAGTATTTCATCGATGGCTTGACCGACAAGAAGAGACAATGCGGCTTCAGGAGCAACGTTGAGCTGTCTAGAGGTCCCGAGAAGGGCATATACAATTCCAGGGATCGCAGCAGAGAACTGAAGAAAGGTCAATGTATGATAGATTCCCGAGAGAATACACACGTACTAGACCCGTTATTGGATTCAGCTTCGCCAATGACGATGCATACGAGATAGATTGTGGGATGAGCATGCTTGCAACGGTAAGGCCTGCGAGGAAATCCCCAGCAAATCTACAGTAGGAAGGTGAGTCGTTTGGTGACAACAATGCGTAGAAGTTGCGTACAGCGAGAACGAATACTGAGGAATCCATGCGGTGGATGGTATGTAATACCGAACCTTCGCCCACTTGGACTGTCTGCGCCAAAGCGGGGGGTGAACATCGGATCCTGTTGCGGAAAAAGGGTGAGTATATGCGCTCCAAGACTCTCGAAGAGGCCCTGGGCTTCTGCGGTGACCACAACTTGAGCACAACGTCGGGGAATGAGAGCCCCTCAGATCGCGCGCCAAGCGGATCGTCCTCTCTGCGTTCTTGTTCAATGCAGGTACCCCGACTTCCCAAGCGCAAAAGGCCTCGACATACACAAGCCTTAAAAAAGCAGGAACAGAGAAGATAGACAGGGTAGGAAGAAGCTCGCATTGCCCTGGCCCTCGTCTCCACCTACATACAGCGTCCAGGGCCGACATCCGGCACCCCAACACTTCCGCCGCTCAGATCCTGCGCTCTAAGACTCTCGAACATTTCCAGAACCAGCCCAGCCAGGGAATCTCGAAGGAGAAGAAGACGCGCTCGAAGGAAAAGAAAGAAAAGGAGAACCCACCTTCGCGTCTCGCCTGACCTGCTGCCTCCGCGTCTCCGATGGTCCGCGCTCCCAGCAGCGCCGTTGTCTCACCCGCCTCAGGCCCTACGTACATTCCCGGCGTCCGTGGAGTGACCGCTCCGCTCCCGGGAAGGCTTGAGGACACGGAGGCGTACCCAGAGAGTGTGGCAACGTTGTACGGGAGCTGCGGGGGACGCAGCGTCTTGTCGCTGTCGTCCTTGCTGTGGCCGCTGGAGTCCATGGTCCAGAAGAGCTCCTCTAGTGTCGGTGACCCGGTAGTCGGTCTTAAGCAATGGTCTTGCTTGAGGTGTGCGTAGAGAGCGCAGGGTGTCTCGCTTGGGTGCAGATGCTCGTAGGCGGGAAGACAAGGTGCGGGCGCAGCTCGAACGTGTCTCAGACGTCCGTGGGTTGCCTTTGGTCGACTTTGGTTTCGTTCACGAGTGCTTCACAGTTATCCACGGTCGGCGCGTCGGGGGAGGGAATTATGCTATCAGGTCATGAGGCAGAAATAGGTCTGCGGAGTCGGTCCCTCTTTCCTTCCAGGCGCCGGTCCGGGTGTAGCCGGGCCGGATAAGCCGAAACCGGGCCGTACCATGTACATAGTCCTCGCTCGGGACAGAAGCTGGCGAAATGCATAAGTAAGACACACCATCAGGCCTCTGCTATCAAGAGGGCAGTTGCCACAACCGTAGCTATTAGATTCGTAAATACTCCGTTACGTTACGATATGACATCTACGCTTTGAGGGCCAAATTTATCTGAAGCAGCATCTCGGGCTTGAGGCTGTCACCCATTGAAGGATAAACCACCGCAGACATCGTCCAAGAGATGGGCTTCTCCGTGAGCTCGAACGTGGACGAGCTCAAGACCTTTGTTAGAACAATCTCTGCACACGACGAGTGCCATCAGAAACGACGCACGAGAAGCCGACCACAGAATCACTCACTCATCTCGAGCTGCGAAAACTTGAAGGTCGACTCTCCGGCGGATCGGTTGCGAGAGCTGCTCGGGAGGTGCGGATGGGCCCGTCCCCCTGCCCAGCCCGGCGGCTTTTCTTGGCGCACCCCGGTGCTTTCGGGCAAGGAGCTCGAGCGGGGTTGCGATTTCATGACGTCACAGTTTTCTTCCGGCTTTTGTCGGAGTGGCCAAGTTCGAATCCCAGGCGTGGAATTGTATACATACGTCAGCTACGTACACATAATCCTGGAAGCCTTTCGTGCTTGTGCTACTAAGAACGCAGAATACCTCATAGTACGTGCGCAAGTTCTGGGAGAGCTCTTGGGTACGATGAGGTCCTAGGTGATTTATTTAAGCCTCTTCACCTTAAGCAACAACTCCGGTTTCAGGCTGTCGCCCATCGAAGGATACAGTACGGCCGAGGTGTTCCACGAAACCGGTTGTTCTGTAATATCAAACGAGAACGAGCTCAGAAGCATGCACAAGACGATCTCTGCGATGTCCAAACCATCAGCGAACAGGCGCGAAAATCACGTCCTAAACAAGGACTCACTCATCTCGAGCTGCGAGAACTTGAACCCGCTGAGAAGGACGGCGCGATCGTCAGCAAGTTGGCGAGATGCAGATCAACACGAGTCACGTACATGCACGAGCGCGGCCCCGCGGCGAAGGTCGTCAAGTGCGCGTACACCCCCGGGACGCGCGCGTCCTCGAGCGCGGCGGGCAAGGGCGCGAGCCAGCGCTCCGGCTTCCACTCGCGCGCGTCGGGGCCCCAGAGGTCCTTGTTCACATTGCACGCCTGGAAGTTCATGAACACGTGCGTGCCGCGCGGGACCGGGAGCTCGGCGAGCGAGCGCCCGTCGCGAGTGCGCACGGGTGCGGACAGCGGGAGAACGGTGTCTTCGGTGGCGCTGAGAACACAGCGCGTCGTCAGGCAGCAAGCAAAGAATACTCGGAGCGCGTAGACGTACAAGCGACCGAGAACGGCGACCGGGGCATGGAGGCGGAGCGTCTCGCGACAGACGGCGTCGAGGAAGGGTAGCTTGACGAGGTCGTCGTACGCGAGGTCGGAGCCGTCGCCGCCTTGGGCCTCGACAATCTCCGCGCGCAGTTTGTCCTGGACGTCGGGGTGCATGGCGAGTAGATGGAGGATTCGGGAAAGCGCGTTCGAGGTGGTGTCCATGCCGGCGAGGATGAAGGTGGACACTTGGGCGACGATCTCTTCGTCTGTCATCTTCTCGTTTTGAGCGGCCGCCATGTTTGCTTTCACTGGGACCAGGGGAGGTTAGAATGACGCCGGAGGACGCGGGAATGGAGGATGACGTACGACAGATGCTCATGATGTCTTTACCTTCACCATTCTGTGCTTCATGGCTACATCGCCTTTCTCGAGGGCGGTCTTCTTCTCTTTGATGATCTCCTCCGAGCGAACGGTCATGATGTCCGAGATACTGAGGACCTTTCGCACAACGCCAAGCGGGAAGTGGCGGAAGATGGCACGAATGATGGGGTCGGAGAGATACCACGACAACGAGCTGGCACCGAGCCCAATGAGCGGAGCACGGATGAGAGATGGGCTACCAAAACACATGAGCTATTCTTCAAGAAATATCTAGAGATGATAGAAACGCACAAGAACAACTTGATGGCCTCCGCGAACGAGTCCATTGCGTTGTCGGTGAAGTCATCGAATGAATACCCGAGCCCGGCTTGACCGAGCATCTCAAGCGTAGTGCGTCCCATCCAATCGTTCATGTCGACCTCTTGTGCCGGCGCGGAAGCCGCAACTCGCTCCATGAGGGCAGTATGCAGCTGAAAATCAACGTGGAAGGTTGACATCAAGACGGGCTTAGAGGATGAGTTTAAGGGAGCGTACCCGATGCGACACTCCATAGAAAATGTGAGTCATGTCTCGAAGATGAGCAGCAGAAAACACCGGGTTCAGGAGTTTCCGCTGTCGCCTGTGTACATCTCCATTCCTCACCGAGAGAACACCCGGGCCCAGGAGGACCGTGAGGAGGCTGGCGAACATTGGTCTGTCGGCCGAGCGGGATGATAGACAAGACAAGGACGTACGTGGACGGGGAGACGCTCTTTTGCCAGATATGAGTGTCTTTGACCATCATCGCGTGCAACGCTCTCGGGTCGTGCACGACGACGGCTCGATTCTGGATCGACAGTAATGAGCAACGGATCACACAGACAGATATATTCCCTCACGGCTAACAACAGCCTGGTGACGAAGGCAGGACCATAAGTATCGGCGCATTGAGCATACTCTCTCCACGCTTTGGATTGGAAGAATTGAGGGATGTTTCCTGTTTGACGGCAATGAGCGACGTTCCGGGTCCAAATAGCCGGCCGAGCCATGCACTGACCTAGAATAAACGACTTCGAAGCTGGGCCAGGTAGGACGTCGAGAGGGGACCGCGAAACGTAATTGTGGAAAATTCTCCACAGTAGGTAGGGCACCCCTACGAAGGCAGCAATAGCTGGGAGCCCGACAGTCATGTGAATGGGAGATTGAGCAGTTGCAGAAGGCGGAAGACGGTGGGCAGGTGAGGGGGCAGGGGATGATCTGGGAGACATTCTGAAGACACGTACCAGTATATATACCTGCATCTGGCCCCACATCCAAGTCCTATCCTGGCGATCCTGTGGCGCGCTCGAGATGTAGTCAATAGACATTAGTAGAAGTCACGTATTCTGTCAGTATACCTTTCGTCGCTACGATTAGCGCGCTCGTCGCTCGGAACTTTGAAGGCCTCGCAGGTGGTGAAAGGAATCGCCGTGCGCACCATGAAAACCTCTCAAAGTTCTTCTGAGATTGTATTGACCCGACTTGAAGACGACGCAGGAGGATGAAGATGAGCGCTAAAGGACGTGATCGAAATCGGAGGTAGGTGGGTCAGCTCGGACAAATAGATACAGCGACAGCACTATCCAATTCACCGGCGAAAGACGGGCACTGTGCTAAAGGAGTGGGCACTGTGCAGCCAAAGGCCGGTGTTTGGAGCAGGGCCGATGTTTGAGACCCTGGCCAACCTGGTTCGGAACAAGCCGTCTTCTTCCGAGCTCCGATCAAACCTTTTGCGCTCCGCGCTCCAGTCGGCAAAGCGGGCGCCCGAGCTCAGCTGGACACTGAGAGTATTTACAAGGATTCGAACATCCTGAAACGGTGCATGAGGTGACCGCGCGGTGGCCACGATGTGACCCGGTACCCGTCCCGCGCCTCAAATTCAAGTTTCCTTGCAACTTGATGCTCCACTTAGCACTCAGCGCCCCGAATGTCAGAACCGTGTGTATTGTCGAGGAACAAGTAGCGTGGTTTTAAGTAGGGTGATATACAGGAGGTCTACACGGAACATGGACAGGTATCATAGAGACGGGGGTATCATATAGTATGTGCATGCGACGACGAACTTCACCGCGACTCTTCCCTGCGCTTCCTTGCGCTTCCACTACTCGCTAATCCCGTCCTAGCGGAGATGCGGAACACCTGCCCCTTCTGTGACCCACACGAGCCTTTCACCATATGGTGAGACGGCATAGCGTGGCCTGATGAGAACTGGTGGGGGCATTTGATGCGTAGGTTCGGACGTCCCACGACGGCGGTATGACTCGAGACCAAGTGGTGTGCACCGGAAGCCGGCTGCCACGAGTACTGGAAGCGGTCGGCGTGGTGACGGCGGAAGGAATCGCGGAGAAAGTCGGCAATGGCAAAGACGTCTGGATGGGCGGCCGATGCAGGCGAATTTTGACGAGCGAAAGACGACACGGGCTCTGGTTGAGATATGTGCTGGAACAGTTGGCGCATGGTAAAATGCATGCGATGGAAAACGGGTAGGGTGTGCGACTGATGGTTGAGAGTAGCCTCCGAGATATTCCCCTGATTCAAACTGAGGGTGGTGACCGAGCCAGGAACGAAGGAGGCGAAGATGACGGAGGAGAGAATGGCCAAGGAGAGGAAGACAGCGGCGAAGATCTTCGTGTGGGCGGACGGCAGAACGGAGGCTTTGTCGACCCAGTGACGAGGAGTAGGCTGGGTGTCGGTGGAGGGGGTACTAGTTTGAATGGGATCCTGTCTTTCCGACGACTCGGCGGCGGTTTTGCGCGCGTCGTCATCGGGGCTATTTGTGTTCGACTGAAGAATGAAAGCAGTTGATGAATATATGCGCCACGGGCAACGCGTGCAGGACGTACCGCGGAGCGGAGCAATGAAACGAGGGCAAAAGAGGACAGATTGATAATGATCAAGACAACGACAAAGGCTAGGGCTCTTGAGACAGTGAACAGGACGCGGAAGACGGGGCTGGCGACGATCTTGATGTAGGGCGAGGCAAAGGATAGGAATGCAGAGATCTGACGAGAGATATACCAGAGAAACCCGAAAATCCATGAGAGATAGGGGAGAGACCAGGCAGTGAACGTGAGGACGGGAGGGAGGATGGTATCGAGGAGCTTGCACGCCAGAATGAAGAAGGCCTGGGCACTGCGGGCGACGTTGGTGATGGTGCGCGATGTGGTGGTGTGGATGCATTTGAAGAGGAGTGCGGCGAGGTGTACAGAGAATATAATTGCATGGTGGACGTTGGTACCCCAGGAGATGCCGGTGTAGAGGATCCGCTTGACGTCGGAGAGGAAGGGGAGGAGGACTCGGCAACCAGTGGGATTCAGTTTGGCGACGTCGATGAGCCGTTGGAGTAGTGCCAGGACGCTGAGGGATGTGTGGTGGATGGCAGAGACGAGAGTGAGGTACGTCAGGGCGACGGCCTCCAGGATCCGGCCGGCGATGAGGAGCGAGTGTTGGAGGAAGACGGTGACGTCATCGATGTTGACGCGGCCGACGACGACGCCGGCGACGAGGAAGACGGCGGCAGCCAAGACGTGGACGAGGAAGACTGCCGAGGAGGAAAGGAGTCCGAGGAGGAGAGAAGCCGCGAGGACGAGGGAGAGGTGGAGGGCGACGAGGAAGGTGACGACTGAAGAGGAGGCCATAGTGAGGCTGAGCTGGGAGGCTTGGAGAGGCTGAGGGGGCGCTGGTGGGCACCAAGTAAGAGGACGGAGAGTTCACTGGAGGATGCGCCTGGCCGGGCGGGGCTTTATATGTCTGGCCTGGCGGGGCTTTCATATGTTCTGCGCGGCGTAGGCGTTCAACAAATTAGAGTTCACCAGGTCGAACGCGTTTAGGCGCACGTGAGGAGACGCGTGCCGCTGTTCGGGAGCCCTGCGGGTCGGGGTGCGGGTCCCCCGTCGTACAGAGTGAGGTTCAGCGTAAATAGAGCACCACGAAATGAGGTACGGCACCATATGTGATCCTGCGATAGACGCCACGCGTGCGAATGTCATGCGCAAATGGGAACAATTGATGGGCGTTGCCAAGTTGCTCAAGACCGTCATCATCGTGCACCGCAGGTTGTTGACATTGTTGCTCTACCCCGCGTTGGGTAAGTACCGCACTCGGAGTTGTTCTTCAATGCATGAGTGACGCTCATACTATGCTAGCACATTTACCAGAATTATGGAACACGTGTTTCCCCCCGGGCCCCAAGTGCTTCGATCTCTCAATGGTGACATCCTGCCCACCATTCTCTCATACCCCTATCTGGGAGACGGATTGAAAACGGATACAAGAGACTTGCGACGCGCTACAGCTTGCTATGCCTGAGTCTGCCACGCATCCTGTCTTTCCGCCTATACGTTGTCGATTTCGCCATCGAGCCCGAAGACGGCCCCTTCTTACTTTCCGATGGAGTCATGGAGTCTTCCAATGTCTTTCCCCGCCTCCCTCGATTTCGTGCACTCATCGCCTTGGGCCACATGATCACCTTACCCCTCATACACCTTCCACATGCAGGCATCATCGAGTTCATGCGCACTTGTCCCGCGCTGCGTACGATTCAGTCCCCACGCTCGAAGCAGAGACCTTTCCTTTCGATCACAGCTCCGGCAGCAGTGCGAGGAACGAGGCGTTCACGCAAGTGCGCGAGTGCAAGGTGTCTGTGCTCGTCTGCCGGCCCAAGACCATGGGGATAGCCGGGCGGGCGGGGCGGCGTATGTTCCCGTACCTGGAGATTTATGAGGCGGAAGACACGTTTGAACTCGAGGCCTAACGTTTGTGTACGTACTGAGTTTACTATTCTTCGATTTGCGCCTCATTGACAAACTTCAAATTCAACGTTCCCGTAGTATACCCGATACTCGGTGGTGCAAGGTAGTCGACTGAGGCGGCGTTCGATCGGATGATCCGTTGAATGTGCAATTTACGGCTGCGCCCGAGCTCGAACTTGCCGTGATGCCCAGGAGTGCGACCAGTGCATGCCGGGTTAAGCATCGCGACTTGGATTTCCGCCGTTCCAGGCTTGAAGCGTCCTCGATTCCTCGCCGCGGGTACCGAAGAGCGGCACGCGTCGCCTCACGTGTCCCCCAACGCGATCGGCCAGTGAACTCTAATTTGTTTAACGCACCCCGCGGAAGAGGCAACAAGAGGCCCGGAAGACATAAGAGGCCCGCGATGGCAGACGCATCCCCCAGTACTCAGTCCTCTCTCTCTCCTCTTGACTTCCATCAGGCCGTCTCTGCCGACTCTCCAGTCGCAGTTCCTCTCTGCCACGCCGCCCTCACGCCGTCTCACGCCCGTCATCATGCCGCTCATAACTCCTTCCTCCCTCTCCACCATCCTCCTCGCTGCATACGTCTACCTCAGCATCAGCGACGTCGGCCTGATCTGCGGTCTTCGTTATGCATGGCTCCTCCTCCTCCTCCCCTTCGGCATCTGCGCCGGCTTTGTTCACTTCGACGAACCCGCCAAGATCCTCCTCAACGTGACACTGCTTGCTGTCCATACACTATGCAAGGCAACCGCGGCGGTATACCTCCTCATCGTACATGTGCTATACCACCTCTCCCGTGGATCGGACGCCGCCCTGCAGTTCTTCATCGACGTTGCCTGCTGGGACCCCACAGGACGCCTTCGCCCCCTCCTCTTCCGCACCAAGCTCATCGTCCGGTCAGGCGTCAGTGTCGGTACTGCCTTCCACCGCACCATCGTCTCCACCGTTGAGCTCCTCGTCCTCGTCCTTCTATGCCTCCCCCACATCTCCGCAAGACTCTACGAGGGTTTCAAGATCGCATCTATCCAGTTCGTGAACGCCATCCTCACTGCGCTCCAATGCTTCCACCTCGTCGCCGGACTCCTTGTGGTTTCTGTGGGCACCTTGTTCACCGACCTCGTGGCTCCCTTCATGGCGTGCGTCTTGTCTACGGCACCGCCCCTCATCTGCCTCTCCGTCAGTATCCTTCGGTTCATCATCGCCCTCTCCCTCTATATCTCTGTCAACATCAGCATCCTTGTCGCCATATTCCAGCCTATTCTTCGACCTGTCCTTGTTCCCGTCTTCCGTCCTCTCAGCTTCTGCATGCGCATCATGATGTCTCTTGTATCTGGTATCTCCACTGTGATGTTCAGACACCTCGTCAACCTATCCTGCTGCATCATGGTACGCATAATCCGCGAGGTAAGCACGTATCTACGTTTTCAATACGCATATCCCAATGTTCTTGATTGCAGGACCGCCCTGAGGGATCGTCGAAATCCCTAGAGTCCGCGTCGGAGTGTTCTTCCACCGTGCGCCCCACACAAGACTCTACTTCGCCCAACATCACTACCGACACTCTAGACACTGTAGCCTCTCGACGTGCTTCGGACGCTGCCGCTGTCTTCCTTACAGTCTACTCCAACGTCTCCGCATGCATCATCCTCTACGCAGTTCTTTCTACTCGCATTCAACCTACCAGTCAGCCTCATCACAAGCCTTGCATGTTCCCTCCTGGCAACTCGTCCATTCTCCCATCCGCCTCCTCCGAGGATAACCTCCATCAATATCGCCTCGCCGCCGTCGTACCCTCAACTCTGAATCTTGTTGACGCTTCTTCGTCGGCACTACCCTCCCGTCTTACCCAGCCCGTTCAAGAGCACGCCCAGAAGGCGACGTCTTCGTCCGTTCATGCTACCACAGTTCACCATATGGTGACCGGTACCCACGAACCCGCGAGCCGTCGCCGTCAAGCGTCGCGCCGGGCACTGCTCGGGACCCACCCGACTCCGGGTCCCTCAGTTCCGCCCTCTTCCACCTCAACCACGTTGGTCGCCAGCGAGTCCGACTCGGACGCCGACCCGCTCGAACTGGGGCCAGTTGAAGAGCCGTCAAGCCCCGACCACGCGGGGCGTGTGGAGAGCGCGGACGAGGACGCGCGACGGAAAGCCGTGGAGGCCGTTCTGGAGCTCGCGCGAGAATCCCCAGCCTACAAGGCGGTCGTCGTCAAGTGGCTGGCGTCGGAGAGACGGCGGCTCGTCTCGCAGGGGAGGCTCTGCCGCAGGCCCGGAGGGTCGAAACCACGGCGGGTGCGTCGGACATAGGTGCCGTACGTACTTCGGTCTTCCCTTTTTCTTCGTCTGTGGGACAGTTTCTGCGCATATATACCCCGCCAAGCATCTGTGTACTCTCATCTTCATACGATCTCATCACTATTGCATCTCTACGCATATCTCGAACATCTGTAGCCCTAGTAGCATATCATTTAGTACGGTACCTATCTTCATAATTCATCTACATTCAGCCCGAGCCCTGAGACCGTGGGTACCTCCGCCAATCCGCCCTCAGATCGGGGAGTCGCCTGTAAGTAAAGAGCGTACCCAGCTCTATCTCTCGAACCTGAGCATGACAGATCGCGGGGCGAAGGGACGGAGCATATTCGGGGTTCGACGGGGCCTCCAGTTAGAAACAACGCTGTATAAAGGGGATGGAGAGCAGGGGAGGTCGCGGAGACACCTGGAACTCAGCCCTGTTGTGATGCGAAGGCGAGCGAGATGTGCGGGGGCCTCGTCCCCTGCATGAGCCGGTCGTGCGTGCACGACGCGAAGTCTGTCCGAGGAGGGGGCAGCGCAGGGTGAGGTTGTGGCTGAATGATGCGTCCACACGGGCGCGGCGATGGGGGGCATTGGGAGTGAGGAAAGAGCAGGCGCGGCCCGCTTCGTCGGGGGGAGCCGCGCGATGTCGAGAGGCCCCAAGGAGGAGTGCGCGCGCGTCGACTGGAGCCTGGGATGTAACGCAGGCGGTCGCGGGGCGAGTTGGAGGACGACGGCTGCCGTGGCCCGACGAGTGCGGGGGCAGCCCGTTCCGCGCCGGCGCGCTCTTGATACATGTCACCGGACGCGCGGCGCACAGACGTGCCACGCCCCGATGGCCAGGGATGGGTATGAGGCAATGGATCCGAGCGTGGAGCGACTGCGCGAGCGTGGCGGATGATGATGAACGGCGGAGGTAAACGACGGCGAAGGTCCTGGGTTCCTTCGAGCTTCCATGGACACCGTATCTGAAGCCGCAATGTCGCGGGCTGTCACTATTCGGGATTCGGGGGAGGTGGGTGCTCTGTTCGCAGCTATGCAGACGTCGCGGCGGTGTGCGGCGCCGGCCACGGCTGGGGATCCGGACGTGAACGAAACAAGGGCCCGGGGATGTTGAAGGAGGTCCACTGTAATTCCATCTCATCAGTGGCCGGGTTCGCGACATATTTCACGCATCAACACTTGCCTCAGTCAGTGGGAATTGAAGGTCGCGAGTCTTGTAAGTGTCGTCATGGTACATATCCGGAGCTACTTCCCCTGCTGCAGCGCCGTGACGCAGGCGACAAGGTCCTGAAGCCGGTCGCCCGGCCCCCGGTTGTGGCTCAACGGTAGCTTTTGCGCAATCAAGTGCGGAAACGCGGCCACGAGCGCAGCCGCGAGCGGCGCGACATCAACGTCCGCCGCCGCCTCTAGGGCTGCCAGCCGGAGCGTGTGCAGGCCCGTTGGCGCCAGCGCAGGGCTCGCCCCCTCCGAGGACGCGACGCCGGGGTGGGCGAAGCGCAAACCGGCCGGGTCGAGTGAGGGGAGCTGGAGGTCGTCCAGCTGAGGCAGCGCGCGCGACACCGCGTGCACCGTCGCGACGGTCGGGTGGTGGAAGCCGGGCGGGGGGCGCGAGCGGTCGTGAGAGTTGTCGTCACGGGAATGCTGGAAGGTCGCCGTGACCAGGGCGGGGAACAGCGGGGCGGGCGCGACGAGCCGGTGGAGGTCGGCGTCGCCGAGCGCGCACCCGGCGAGCTGGAAGGCAGAAACGGGGAGCGATTGGGCCGCGCCCACGCGGAGCGCGTCGAGCACGAGGCCGGCGGAAAGAGGTAGGGAGCGGAAATCGCGAGTAAGGAAAAAGTCGAGCTGGTCGAGGGCAGGCCCCAGGGCGGAAGCGATGGCCGTGAGGGCTGCGGCGGGGTCATCCTCTGGTGGGCGGGTGTCCGGGGTCTCGAAGAAGGCGAGGCGAGTGAGGCTCTGGATCGTTCCGGTGGTGCTGAAGAATATGGAGAGGTCTTCGAGAGATGCGGATATCTCGAGAGAATGAAGCGAGGGGAAGCCTCCTGAGCGTGGGGTGGCCATGGGGGAGGGAAGGAAGCTGTCGAAGAGGGTGCTGTCGACGCTGTACGTCTGGATCGTGAGGCATAGCTTGCGGAGAGCAGGGAGAGACATGAGCGAGAGTGTCATCTGCTCGGTCAAGTTCACAGTGTGTGTCACAACGAGGGTGTACAACTGGGAGAACGTCCACCATGGCACGCGTTCGCGGTTGGGAACGTTCCCCGAGAGATCTTCATATTCAGCGAGTGTTAGGGAGAGGTTTTCGATGCCAGAAAGCGTCTTTTTCATCGGCCAGTAGATGTCTCGCAGTGCTTCATCCCTTCGTCTTATCTGAGCTGGGATATCTTGGCCTCCGTAGGAATTTATCATTAACGGATTTGATGAGTACCAGAGCTCGATGTCGAATGTGATTTGTAGACGGTGGAGGCATGGGCTAAGGGTACACAGCTCCTCGCAATGTTGGTTCGTGGGAGCGTACCCGGTGAGTTCCTCCAACCGTGGAAGCAAATACCCATCGCTATCGTCATCCCTCCCGTGGTTTTGCCAGGCGTAGTAAAGACACTTGAGGCGGATGGGAGCCTCCACGTGCAGAGTCTTGACTCTGTGTGCGTACCTTGTGAACCGTTCCCAATGTACCTCGTAGATGCCAGGGGGCTGTTCTCGTTGGACTCATCAGACTGGGCACACGGTATGCCCTTGGAGGGACGTGGTAAATGCCACTAACCATCACATAATTACCACCTGGGTGTTCACGGATATGGAGGATCTCGAGCAAGTGTTCGACGTCGTCTACATTGGTCCACAAGGCGTCCAAGGCGATGTCAGATAGAGTACGGCAAACGCGGGCGATGGAGGCGAGGGTAGACTGGCCAAGTCACCGCTCGCAGAGGGTCGAGCGTGGAGTCACGCACTCTGACTCGAGGTCGTGAAGAGGGAAACGGTATGGTGACAGGTTGTGGAAGATTTCGCACGCGATCTCCATGCAGAAGAGAGCGCGGTGAGCGACAGAAGGTGGATAGAAAATCGCTGGTTCGAGTGGGATTGAGGGGACATGATCCATGAAAGGGAGCGACTACTGAGGGTGGACGAGGATGAGGGAGGTGGTGGGCGATGTCCAAGGAGGTGTTGGCCTCGGTGGGCCCGGTGGGCCAAGTTGCCAGATAAAATCAAGAAGTCGGCGATATCGCCTTTGCTTGCGGATGGACCCACGAAGCGGGCGAGCTGGCGTAGCTAGGAGACGAAAGGGGGGGCGGGGGCTGTCAGGCTTCACGTCGTCGATGGAGGCGCGGGACGAGCTGCGCGAGGTTGGCGTCGGCGAGCGCGCTCCCAGAGTGCTAGAGCTCGATCATGTGCGTCCCGGAGGAGGAGGAGGACCGGAGGGCGTGCGCGCGCGTCGAGCACAGGGCCGGCGGCGAGAGGGCAGTGGGTTGACGGAGATCGGGGTACCAGGAGGCGAAGGCGAGGCTTTCCTGGACCCTACTTGCTCAGTCTACTAGGACAGTTCTAAGCAATTGAGCAGCAAAGCACTGAATCAGAGCATCATGTACTATGTGCCCGGCCCGGCCCGGCCCTCTCCGGGCTTCTGCCCGCCCCGCAGAGCCACCGTGGCAGGTATCGTCTTTCTGCCTGTCCTTTTGTTTCACCGTCTCAGATGTGCTTGTGTGCGCAACATCCGCTACCTCGACGGAGCTTCAGGTTCACTCGTACATAAGGCTTCGCGCGACTGTTGAACGTTGAGGTGCCGGTCCCCATCGGATTGATCAACCTCAGTAACAGACCTTCCGCCCCGGGGCCATGTGTGGGTACTCGCAGTGTCATACCAGAACACAACTAACCTCTTCTACAGTGTCTCCGCTCTCGGGTTCAAGCCTGTCCCATCAAGTGTTTTTCAACGCAGACCTTCTCCCCGAGATCTTTCACCATCTCTCGCCGTATCCTGAAGGCCTCGACAACATCCTCACCGAAGGACACGCGAGCGATAACGAGGGGCAGGCGGATCTCAAGTGCACGCTGGCCGCCTGCGCACGCGTCTCTCGCGCCTTCTCCGACGTTGCGCTCGATGCCCTCTGGAGGACGTTGAACGGTCTGTGGCCCCTGTGGTGCATCATGCCGGATGAAGACGCTTTGAGCACCGTGAGAACCAGTCGCCGACGCGCTTTTGTCCTTTCGCTGACCTCCGATGCGCAGGTCCAGGTACCTGAGGACGAGTCCACTGCGGAGGCAGGCTCGCCGAGCTGGCACTGGTTCAGGTTCAGGCGCTACGCCTTCCGGGTCAGGGAGCTCAGATGCAAGATGGAACCGTTCGTGCCCTCAATGCGTCCCGACAACACAGCAGACCTGCTTATCCCACTCCTGTCTGGGGCGCCTCTCCTTCCTCGCCTCGAGCACCTGGATGCCAGGTTTGAGGTCCCTGACTGGCTACCATTGCTGTCCATCCTTCTCTCCCCATCTCTTCGTTCCATCAGGCTGTCTCTCGAGTACTCGAGATGGGGCGCTAGCCAGCTCCGGACAACACTCATCCACTCGCTTCTGCGTCTCATGACCTATCCAGACGATCGCAAACACGAGCGGCGTCTCATCCCTTGGCCGCGAGAGTTCCATGGCCCATCGTTGGAGCATCTCCTCGCTCAAGATGCGTTCCACGACCTCCACACGATCGACACCCTGGTCCACGGCCGTCCCATCGACCTCGACCGTCCCACCGTCGAAGTCCTCTCGCGCATGCCGAGCCTCAAGACCCTCTTCGTCGCGCTTGCGCTCGGCGTCCCGCCCGCCTGCCACGATGGCTTCGTCGCGCTCGAGACCCTCCACGTCAGCGCCACCCCCGCCGACATCGCCCACCTGTTCGCCGGGTGCCGCTTCCCCCGCCTGCGCGCGCTCGCCCTCCGCTCGCCCTCCGCGCACCTCCCCACCGCGCTCGCCGCCGTCCCGCGCTCGGTGACGGCGCTCGCGCTGGAGCTGCGCGACAGCTGGGAGCCGGTGCGGCTCGCGGAACTACTCGCGCCGCTCCTCGCGCGGGTCGCGCTGACGAGCTTCACGCTCGACCTCGCGCGCCGGCAGTGGGTGTCCGTCACGGACGGGGACCTGGACGCGGTCGCGGGGGCGTGGCCGGCGCTCGTCCGGCTCGAGATCACGCTCGACGGGAAGAGGAGTGCGGTGAAGGGGGCGCCGCCGGCGGACGCGGGCGTCGCGTGTCCGACGGTTGGGGGCGCGGTGCAGTTTGCGAGCAGGTGTCCGGCGTTGAGGGCGCTGCACCTTCCGATGCTGAGGAAGGTGTGAAGACAATCCTCTATATACCCGTCAGTGGGCCTTCTGAATGCTATATACACCATCTACGTTTATTGAACGCACGATCACGACGAGCACCACACACGTATACCCAGCCAGCACTAAGTACATAGCGGATCCTGCTTCGGATTATGGGAATGCATAACTTCGTTAATGGACTTGCCCGCGCGTATCGCATCGGTTCGAATCCCACACACGTCATCACATTGCGGCAGTGGCACTTCCGAGTCCCGACTTTGCCCGCAGGCCGAGGCGGAAGCACAGAAGTTCATTTCTCAAACGGCGACCCTCTTCTCGAGTCATGGACCGGGCCATCAGCGCAGCGTTTGCCGGAAACAGTCCTCCGGGCGATGCGGAGGCAAGCTGCCTGATCGAGGCAGGTGCGGAACGAGCTGCGGCACTGGGACGAAGGCGCGACGATGGGGTCAGCCACACCGTACACAGGGCCAAACACCCCCGCACCCCGTTATCACAGCCGGACCCCAGTGACGAGTACGAGTCCCCTTCCCCCCGACGACGACGACCATGTCCCGCTTGCTCTTCGTCACCCTCCTCGCCGTCTCCCTGGCGTCCGCCTCGCCGCTCTCCACCTCCCATGGCACGCCCCGCGACGTCTTCGCCACGAACCTCGCCCCCCTCGTCCACGAGCAGCACCCGCACGGGACCGTCAACGGCTCCTACATCATCGTCCTCAAGGATGGTGTCGAGCCCTCGCTCGTCGCGAACCACCTCAACTTCGTCCAGAACGTGCACGCCGCCGACCCCGCTGCCGACGCGTTCGCCGGCCTCACCCACGTCTACCAGACCCACCTCAAGGGCTACGCCGGCCACTTCTCCGACCTCGTCCTCGACCACATCCGCTCCATGCCCGAGGTCGACTACGTCGAACGCGACCAGATCGTCCGCACGCTCGAGGTCGAGCGCCTCGCCGCGTTCGAGGCGGAGCACACGACCCAGAGCAACGCTCCCTGGGTAAGTCACACGATTTCGGGCTTGCTTTGACTCGTCCTTGTCTCGCCACTGGCGCGGTCTGGTGGTCCTTTTTCGCCTCGGTGCAGTGCGGGTTTCCGACGCTGGGTGTTGGGACGTCGGTGGATGGCTCGTATGATGTCGTGGTGGCGCCCCTGCTATTGGTCCTTCCGCTGTAGCGCTCGGATCCTTGCAGATACGCTTCGTCCGCATACAGCATGCATAGGACACTTGTGGGTTTGGGCGGTCTCCCTAAGTGTGACCCACGCTCATTGGCGTGATGAGCGCGCGCTTCGCCCTGAATACGTTCCATGCTCTCCGCCGTGACGGAAGTTACAATGCTCATATATCTCCATTGCTAGGGTCTTGCCCGTGTCAGCCACCGCAAGAAGCTCTCGTTCGGCACGTTCAAGAAGTACGTGTACGACGCTGATGGCGGCGACGGTGTGGACGTCTACGTCATTGACACTGGTATCAACGTGAAGCATGCCGAATTCGAGGGTCGCGCATCTTGGGGCAAGACCATGCCCGCTAACGACGTTGACGAGGACGGCAACGGTCACGGTACTCACTGCGCGGGTACCATCGCCTCGCGCAAGTACGGTGTCGCGAAGGCTGCGAAGGTCATCGCTGTCAAGGTCCTTGGCAGCAACGGGAGCGGCACCATGTCCGACGTCATGGGCGGTGTTGACTGGGCTGCAGGAGAGGCGCAGGCCAAGGCCAAGGCAGCGGCTGAGGAGTTCAGGAAGACTGGTCGGTCTTCGCACAAGGGTTCGGTCGCGAACATGTCGCTTGGAGGTGGCAAGTCACGCGCGCTCGATGACGCTGTCAACCGTGCTGTCCGTTCGGGCATGCACTTCGCCGTCGCCGCTGGCAACGATAACCGTGATGCGTGCAACAACTCCCCCGCTGCCGCAGAGGAGGCTATCACCGTCGGCGCGTCGACTCTCGGCGACGAGCGCGCGTACTTCTCGAACCACGGCCCGTGCGTCGACGTCTTTGCCCCCGGTCTGAACATTCTCTCGACCTACATCGGCTCGAACACGTCGATCACGACCATGTCTGGCACCTCGATGGCCTCGCCCCACACCGCCGGTCTCCTCGCGTACCTCCTCTCGATCTATCCCTCGAAGGATTTCAACCCGGCGCTCCGTCCCGACCTCGTCCCCACACTGTTTGCCCACCTCGCGCCGACGACGCCCTCGGCGCTCATGCGCTCATACTCGCTTGTCTACGCGTCGCTCCCCGAGTGGGCCTCCGCGTTCCTCCCGCCGCCCGCGCTCATCGGGCCAGCGACGACGACGCGTTCGCGCCGATCCCGGTGCCGGTGCTCACGCCGAAGCAGCTCAAGCTCGCGCTGCTCGCTCTCGCGACCGAGAACGCGCTCATCGACGAGCTTCCCGCCGGCACGCCGAACTTGCTCATCTTCAACAACGCGACAGCCTGAGGGTCGATGCATTTGGGACGGGCTCTTGGTGCCCATATGGACTCTGCTCTCGTTGTCATACGTTCGTCGGTCGTCGTCGCCTGAGGGGAGAAGAGATATGGTGGGGTGGTCCTCCGGTCCCCCCTTGATCCGCTCCTTTGCCGCACCGTCACGGTATCCCTGCTCTCGTTTCTGCGCCTGTAATGACGTTCCCTGGATATAGTCACCCCCTTGGCATGTTTGTGTGTACGCTAGACGATCGATAAATGTATGCGTGGCGGGTTGCGGGTATAAGGGCGGCTCTTGGCTGGCTCTTGTACGCGTGTTCTACCAGCTTCTGTGGACTTGTGCGTGATTTTTGGCTCAGTGTGATGCCTTCCACCAATGTGGCTTCCACTCGAAGTCTTACAGATGGGTCCATAACGATAGACCCTCGCGCGAAAATAACACACGGTCGGTTGGGCGAGTTTGATCACGCGGGATTCGGTCTTCCGATGCGTCTCCTGCACACGCGTCCTCTGTCCGGCTAAACTCCGCCCAAATCGACTGTGTGCATGTATTTTCGCGCGAGAGGTCTATCGTGAGGACCCAGCTGAGTCATCGGCTGATTTGAGGCCGGAAGGCTCCAATTCTTGAGGAGACGATACCGAATCATATGGATGTCACAAACGCGAACCGTCACTGTGTGATTTGATGGTGGGTCACGACCCCCAATGTTCAGTTACTTAAATATGAACTAGGCGCCTGTCCCGCTGTGACTTAAACTTGAGACGGGTCATGTCAGCTTATGGGTCTCTCTCTTTGCTCCCTCTCCCTCGAACAACATATGATGGGTAAAATATCCATGCTCTGTTGTCTCCTCTAAGCTCATCGCATGTTTCCAAAGCGACTGGTCTCGCTCATCCAGTGCTTTCCATCCCAGAGGTCCTCTCAGAGGTCTTCTCTCATCTTGACCCCTACCTGCACGAGAGCTTCGCCGCCATTCTTCCAGAGCGACATATTCTGCAGACTGACAGATCCGCGCTGTCCACCTTGGCGCTATCTGCCCGCGTTTGTCGCTCCTTCGCTGAAGCTGCCCTCGATGTCCTTTGGAGCACGGTGTCCGATCTGGGAACGGTGCTGTCCCTGATCGACCACTTGTCACTGGGGACCAACGACTCCATACCGGAGGTGGGTATGCGCGTGCTCGTTGTCATTTGCGATGTACTGACTTTTTTCCAGAGCGATAACACCATTGTACCGGGATCGCCACGCTGGCGCTGGCACCGATTCAGGTGGTACTCCTCGCGCGTGGTCACCATCTTTGTCTACCTTCAACCCTTCCATATCTCAATGTTCTAGAATCGCTGCGATCCCAGCTCTCCCCCACAACCCGCTTTTCCCTCGTCTCCGCCACTTCACTTGCCACTTGGATCATAGCCCTTCCAAAGACCCTCTGCGCTCAGTTCATGGTTCCGCCGACCTTGCGCACGCTCGCTGTGCGGCTCTATAGCGGGGCGATCGCCCCCAGGGTCCCTTCCCAGACCACCAAGACGAACTGCGCAAGCACCCTCCAGCAAGCCACAGCGCTCGACGCAGACACCGACGACAGTCGGCGGCCCTCCTGCCAAACGGGCCCAGTCGTCTCCAAGAGCTCGCCATAGAGGGCCTGCCCGAGGACGTCTCCGCCATGCTCGCCGGCTGCCACCTCCCGCCCGTGTCCGCGCTCTCCCTCGCCCTGCGCCTCGGCGGCCGCTCGCCCTGCGCCCTCGCCCTCCAGTCCGCCCGCGCCGCCGTCTCCCCCAGCGCCGCGGCGCTCACCCGCATCGCGCTCCGTCTCCCCGGGTGCGCCATCACCAACGACGGCGGCGGCCCGCGGACGGGCGCGCCCGCGTTCGCCCCCCTCGTCGCGCCGCTGCTCGCGGGCGGGCTCCCGCACGTCGCCGCGTTCGAGTGCATGGTGCCCCGGCGGTGGGTCGCGTTCGGGGACGCGGACCTCGAGGCGCTCGCGCGCGCCTGGCCCGCGCTCACCCGGCTCCTCGTCCGGCACTCCTCCTTCCTGGACGACGAGTCGTCGCTGGGCCCGCACAGCCCGACCTGGGCCGGCGTCGCGCACGTGGCGCTCGCGTGCGCGCGCTGGGGCGTTCCCCCACGTCCTGAGCTTCGGCGTCTCGAGGCTCGTGAACTTCGAGCGGGGGGACGCTCGGGCGGTGGCGCGGGAGGTGGAGGCGCTGTTCCCGGGGCTGGTGGTGGAGCGGATGAAGAGAGGGTCTCGGAGGAGGAACAACCGGGCGTATGTGGTGGATGCCATGCTGGAGATGCGTCACCGATGATGGATGGATTGAATCAGGGCGGACCGCAGACTGCAGGATTGGTTTCCGTACCCTTACATTATTTGGCTTCTTGGAGTCGCGTCGAGACAGAAGTACAGTCATCCCACACCCATCCGTCGTCCGATATCTGGCGCATGTACGCACCCCGAACCAAAACAAGCTGCAACCAAGCCGGCGAGCCTCCGCCAGAAGGGACGCATGCGGTCCTTGAGTGAGGAGTCATGGATGACAGAGGTCAAAAATGGTTATTGAACATTCGATGCCAGAGATATCTACATAGTACGCAAGTTCAAAAGCCCGTCGTAAGGTATAGCACTGACGACTCGTCGCAGCTTGTCTAAGTATTCTGTTTCGAGTACGTATAACATGAGCTGCGAGCATACATCCCCAGAGCTATCTCCCAGCCGAGCTACTTCCCCTGCTGCAGCGCCGTGACGCACGCTACAAGGTCCGGAAGCCGGTCGTTCGGCTCCAAGTCGGAGTCGCTCAACGGCAGCTTGTGCGCCCTCAAGCGCGGAAACGCGGCCACGAGCGCGGCCGCGAGCGGCGCGACATCAACGTCCGCCGCCGCCTCTAAGGCTGCCAGCCGGAGCGCGACCATGCTCGACGGCGACCGCGCCGCGTCCTCGGAGGCGACAACTTGCCCTGCGCCGTCGCCGACGGGGGTGGGCGAAGCGCAAGCCGGGCCGCGATCGAGCGAGGGGAGCTGGAGGTGGCGCAGCCGCGGCAGCGCGCACGACACCGCGTGCACCGTCGCCACGGTCGGGTGGTGAAAGCCGGGCGGGGGGCGGGAGCGGTCGCGCACGGCGTCGTCGTGGGTGTACATGAAGGTCGCGCCGACCAGGGCGGGGAAAAGCGGGGCGGGTGCGACGAGCTGGTGGAGGTCGGCGTCGGTGAGCGAGCACCCGGCGAGCTGGAAGCCAGTAACGGCCCGGAGCGATTGGGTCACGACCGCATGGAGCGCGTCGAGGACGAGGCCGGCGGAAAGAGGTACGGGGCGGGAATCGAGAGCGAGGAAAAAGTTGAGTTGGTCGAGGGCAGGCCCCAGGGCGGAAGCGATGGCCGTGAGGGCGGCGGTGGGGTCATCCTCTGGCCCTGAGCGGGCAGTGTCCATGATTTCGGTGAAGAAAAAATAAGCGAGACTCTGGATCGTTCCGGTGGTGCCGAAGAATATGAGGATGTCTTCGAAAGATGCGGTGATCCCGAGAGTGTGAAGCGAGGGGAAGCCTCCTGAGCGGGGGGTGGCCATGGGGGAGGGGAGGAGCTGTCGAAGAGGGAGCTGTCGACGTTGTACGTCTGGAACGTGAGGCATAGCTTGCGGAGAGCAGGGAGAGACATGAGCGAGAGCGTCATCTGCTCGGTCAAGTTCACAGTGTGTTTCACGATGAGGGTGCGCAACTGGGAGAACGTCCACCATGGCACGCGTTCGCGGTCGGGGACGTTCTCCGAAGGCTCTTCTTCGTTGTCGAGGTTTAGAACGAGATCTTCGATTCCAGACAGCGTCTTTTTCATCCGCCAGTAGATGTCTCGTAGTGCTTCATCTCTTCGTCTTCTCCGATCTTCGATATCTTGACGTCCGTAGAATTTTATGATAATTATCCGATTCGATTCGAGCCAGAGCTTGATGTCGAATACGATGGATAGACGGCGGAGGCATGGGCTAAGGTTACGAAGCTCCTCGCAATATCGGTCCATGGGTGCGTACGCGGTGAGTTCCTGCAGCCGTGGAAGCAGATACCCATCGTCGTCGTCATCCCTCCCGTCCCGGTAGAGATTTCTCCAGGCGTCGTAAAGCCACTTGAGGCAGATGGGAGCCACCAGTGAAGAGCCTTGACTCTGTGTGCGTACCTTATGAACCGTTCCCAATGTACCTCGGAGATTCCAGGGGGCTGCTCTCGCTGGATGACCATCTTTGTCAGATTGGGCGCACTGTATGCACGTATTGGATGCCACTCACTACCTCATAACTACCATCTAGGTACTTACTGATATGGAGGTTGGGTAGGAGATCGAGCAGATCTTCTACGTGGTCTACCCGCTTCCACAAGGCGTCCAAAGCGATGTCGGAAAGAGTATGGCAAACGCGGGCGATCGAGGCGAGGGTGGACTGGCCAAGTCGCCGCTCGCAGAGGGTTGACTCCGGAAGGTCGCGCACTGAGGAGTCGTAGAGAGGGAGAGGGGGTGGCGACAGGTTGTGGAGGATTTCGCACGCGATCTCCACGCAGAAGAGCGCGCGGTGAGCGGCACAAGGTGGATCAGGAATCGCTAGCGCTGGTTCGAGCGTGGTTGGGACCGGATCCATGAGAAGGAGCGATGGCCGAGGGTCGACGAGGCTGTGGACGAGGACGAGGGAGGTCGTGGTCGATACCCAAGGAGGTGTTGGCCTCCACGAGGCAGAAGTTGTCGAATAAAACCGAAAAGTCTGCGGTATCGATGATCACGTGCACGGGCATGGGAAGCGTCAAGCGGACACTATCCCCATCCACTGGCGGACGACCACGACGGCATCGCTCCTTGACCTCGTACCACCACCATCTCCTCCAGCGTCTACCCCCTCCCTGCCGACGCCCTCACCCCCTGGTACGATGTCGCCCTCCAACAAGAAGGGCAAGAAGAAAGCCAAGGCCCCCATCCCCGCGATGACGAGCCCCACGCCTGCATACCCACAGCTACCGCCTGACACCCTCGGCTTCGTCAACGGTGAGCCCGTTTTCCGCAACCCCGAGGACTTCCTGGACGACCTGGAAGACCCGGAAGTCGAAGCCGAATGGCTCGACTACTACGAGGACGAAGCCCGCGAGGCCGAGTCCCTCTTCGCTCGCCCCGGCCACCGCACGCAGCCCTCCTGCTCCCGCGCTGGTCCCTCCTCCCGCCCCCAAGCCCCCGCGACCCCCCCTCCCTTCCCACCCGACGCGGTCCAACCCGACGGGCTCCACCCATACAATAATCCATTCCAGATGCCGCCCAACGGGGACCCCCGATGGCTCGTCTGGGACGCGGAGTGGCTGCGCATCCGCAACGCCCTCCAAGCCTCCATCGGCGACCACGCCCGTCTCCCCGAACGGGGGCAAATGGCCGTCGCCTCCGACCCCCCTCTGGTGGCCCCCTCCGCTGCCTCCACACCCCTACCCAGCGTCGCCGTCCCTCCCCCAGGCCCGGCCACCCCTCCCCCTCCCCCTGCCTCGGGCGTGAAACAAATCCGCCTGGAGCCGATCCTCACCGAGGTCCTCGGACTCCTCCTCCGCGACCGGCTCGAGGTCACCACTAACCTCGCCTCCACCCGCATCGTCCAGACCTTCCTGGCCCACGGACACTCCGCATTCGAGGCGCAGAAGCTGATCAGCGACCACCCGCTCCTGATCGTCGCCCTCCCCCTCCTCATCCGGCTGACGCGCGAACACGCCGCTGCCGCCATCCAACACCACGCCCCGGCCGCTCGTCCCCTGGACCCCGCTGCGCCGGCGTTCCAGCCCCCACGACCCCCACGCCCTCCCACGCCCACTCGGCACCAACCCCCCACGCGCCTGCGGCCCCCACGCCCGCGCCCACGCTCCCTGCCTCCCCCCTCCTCCAGACCGGATGGCGGTCACACCACCCGCCTCCCCCATCCCACACGTCCGCCTCCCCTCCCGGCCCCCTCTGCCCCGAGGTCGATATGGCGGTGAACCCCCGTGCCAACACGCCGGAGCCCGACGCAACGGCTGCTCACACGCCGGCGCCCCCTCCCGCTGCCTCACCCCTGCGCCCACCCGGCCTGCCTCCCCCGTTCCCGCCCCGCCCCACACGCCCACACGGCCCACCTCCCCATGACCGTCGAGCCCTCTGGCTTGGCGGCTCTGCCACCACGCCCCGACCCCGTTGCTGCCGTCCCCGATCCCACGCCCTGGGTGAAGGTTGCACGCCGACGAGGTCGGGGATCGGGCCAGGCTGCTGCTGCACCGCCCCCCGCGGGCGCCCAGCTGGCCGCTGCGCCCCAAACCCCCACGCAGGCTGCGGGCCCCACGCCCAAGCCCTCCCTCCTCCAGACCACGCTGCAGGCTCTCCGCCAGCGGCGTCCAGCGGGCTCCGCCCGAATCCTCTACTTCCACGAGGTCGACCCCGGCACGGCGCAACGACGCAGCCTGTCGGACGCGTCCCTCCTGGACATCTTCCGGAAGGAGTGCGGCGCTCCCATCACCCGCATCTCCACCAACCCGGCGCGCACGCGCTGGACGGTGCTCCCGACCGCCCCGCCGCCGGGCCACACCATTGACGCCGACGCCCAAGCGCGCGTCATCCACTCCCGCCTCGAGGCCGTGCTCGGCACGCCTCTCCGACTCTCCCGTTTCGTCCACCGCGTTTCCGTGGTCTTCCCCCACGTCGAGTGCGAGGACATCACCCCTCACGGCGACGCCGGCCGGATCGCAGCCCCCGAGGCTCTCCGCGCCGCTGTCACCCGCTCGCAGTCCCGGGTCTGGGAAGACGCCCTCGCGCGCGTTTCCCAGGCCCCTAACGCTATCCGTTGGGGCCCCCACCCCGACCGCTCCACCACCGCCGCGCTCTTCGTCGACTTCGACGACGACGCGCACTTCAAGACGCTCCGGGCCGTCCACGGGACGCGCCTTCTTTTCAACAACGGGCCGCGTGAGTGCACCCCCACCCGCCTCGCCCCCCTTCGCACCCAATGCTCGAACTGCCAACGGTTCGGGCATGTGGCGCCCCGCTGCCGCGCACCACCGACGTGCGGCATGTGTGCGGGCTCCCACGACACCCGCCTCCACGCGCTCCGCGTGCCTGGCCCTTTGCAACGCGAGTTGAAGTGCGCGAACTGCTCCGGCAGTCACGCGGCCTTCGACTCATCGTGCCCCCGCCGCCTCCCGGCCGCGCAGGGCGCGAACGACGCACACCACCCGCAGGGCGCGCAACCGCGCAGCCCACGCAAAGGAAGGCCGGCGGCAGGTCGGTCATAGGCCAAGACGGTACTGGGTAAGAAGTGTGACGCATTTGACTTGTATCATCCGCACTCGCATCACGATTCGCTTCGGACACTCCCCGGGCGCCCGCGGCCCCTCACTCTCCCCAACTTGCTACGGCAGGGGTCCCGTGCCGCTCGGTGTCACACGAACGCGGGATAGAGCTTTAGCAGTGTCGCACTTCCGATACGGTACTTACGTACGTCAATGTGTGGTACTGGGATAAGCAGATCATAATAATAATAATAATAATAATAAAGGACGACCACGACGGACCGGCTATCACCTGCCTTGAGGCTGATATCGAATCCATCCAACAGCGACCCGCAGGGGTGCGCACCCATTCGCGATAGCATCTGTCCAGACCAAAAAACCGTCCTTAGTGTGGGGAAGGAGGACGAGCAGGCGTAGCTACATAGCCGACGACGGAGCAGTGGTGGCGACTGGGAAAAAAAGGCCTTAGAACCGTGCATCTGAATTCCGGATCAGAGTAGGGATCACAAGTTCGGCGGTGAGGCATTTACATAGCTCGTACACGTGTAGTGTAGTGCAGGTTTTATCCAAATATGCCGTACGACAGGGAACTTCAAGCATGTCGTTGCTTAGTAAGTAGTAGCCTCTCGATCTCGCGGAGGAGCCCGCGATGGACGCCCGTGGTCGCATGAAACGTGCCGCGCTGGGGGAGAGCGACGGGAGAAGCAGGACACGGAATTGAGACAGCACACCCACGACGGCGCGGAGTCCTCGACTTCAGGGGTGTTAGTGGGTGCGCCGGGCGGGTGGAAGAGACCAGCCGCTGTATTTTGAAAGTCAGCAGTAGTGCGAGGGATTCTGGAAGTCCAACGCAGAACTCACCATCACGAAACGGTGAATCGCTCATGACACGTTCCGCGTCGCCAGCATGGCGCCCACCACGTCCGCCTACCGGTGTTCCGTCATGTACTCAGATCGCCCGACCCGTACCACTTCCAGCTCCAGAAACAATGCCTCCACCTTGCGAGCCAACGTTCCGATTTGTGACCAGATCCGACGCCTCAAAGGTCCGGACCAGCGGGAACGCCTTGGACGGCTCGTCAGCGTGAGAGACGTCGAGGTGGGGGACGCGCAGCGTCTGCAGCTTCACGCACGTTTCTAGCAAGTGCGTCACCGCCGCCCAGGTCGGTGCCGGTTCCGCAGGGATCGGCGCCATTCCCGCGAGGCAGTCTCGCACGTCCAGTTGGGTGAGTCCAGGCCACGCGCGCGCGATCGCTTCGAGGTCGACATCGCCGAACGTGACACGGAGTCCCACCAGCAAGCACCGGAAGGCGGCGACGCGCGGGAGCGAAAGCAAAGGGAATATGAGGGCGCTGAACGAGGAGAGAACGGGCCCGGTCAGTTTGAGGTCGATGAGGGAGTCACCGAGCGATGCGGTCATACAAACGCACGGAGTCGTCTTGTACTTCTAGCAAATCAAACACAGAAAGGTCTCCTCCATCAGCTTTGCATCATTGGCCTTCGTCCCTCAGTTGGTGGTGATGAATTAGACGAGACGCGGAGCCAAAAGCTCCTACAGCGTCCGTCCGCGTCACTTCGAACCATCGACATCTCCTGAGGAGCGAGTCGGGCTCATGGATGACGCAGTGACCGGAGGCACCACCAAAGAACGCAAAACAAACCAGGGAGAGGGCATACCAGCGTAATATGGAGGGTATGGTTTCCGAGAGCTCCGCACTGCTCGTCTTTTGGGCCGAGGAGGTCGCGCAGGCTAGCTGTCGAATCGGCACCGCGCGTGTTCCGGGGGTCCTGTAACGTCTGTTCTTCAGCATCCCAGACGTGAAACCAGGGACGTTTTTGGGAGAGTGAGCTCTCGTGTAGCCGATGCTGAGCGCTGAGCAGTCGCACTGTGATGCAACGGGGAGCCTGAGGGACAGTGTTGTCAGTTGGCTGGGCAAGATTCGGAAAGTAGTGTGACTGGGCTCACTGGGGAAACTGGCGTTGTTGCATATAATGTAGCGGGGGACATGCACGGAACTGGAGCGTACAGCTACGGTGTAGTGACCGTAGCTGTATCACAGAGAGCGAACCCCCCGCGATGGGGCCAGTGAGGATCCCGCTCCCGAAGAGCGGCACGCGTCTCTTCACGTGCGCCTAAACGCGATCGACCTCGTGAACTCTAATTTGTTGAACGCCTACGCCGCGCAGAACATATGAAAGCCCGGCCAGGTGTAACATATAAAGCCCCCGCCCGGCCAGGCGCATCCTCCACTCAACTCTCCATCCTCAGCCCTCTTACTTGGTGCCCACCAGCGCCCACTCAGCCTCTCCAAGCCTCCCACCTCAGCCTCACCATGGCCCCCTCCTCAGTCGTCACCTTCCTCGTCGCCCTCCACCTCTCCCTCGTCCTCGCGGCTTCTCACCTCCTCGGAATCCTCACCTCATCGACAGTCCTCCTCGCCCACGTCTTGGCTGCCGCCGTCTTCCTCGTCGCCGGCGTCGTCGTCGGCCGCGTCAACATCGATGACGTCACCGTCTTCCTCCAACACTCGCTCCTCATCGCCGGCCGGATCCTGGAGGCCGTCGCCCTGGCGTACCTCACCCTCGTCTCTGCCATCCACCACACATCCCTCAGCGTCCTGGAACTACTCCAACGGTTCATCGATGTCGCCAAACTGAACCCCACTGGTTGCCGAGTCCTCCTCCCCTTCCTCTCCGACGTCAAGCGGATCCTCTGCACCGGCATCTCCTGGGGTACCAACGTCCACCATGCAATTATATTCTCTGTACACCTCGCCGCACTCCTCTTCAAATTGATCTCCACCACCACATCGCGCACCATCACCAATGTCGCCTGCAGTGCCCAGGCCTTGTTCATTCTGGAGTGCATGCCACTATTGTAGCCAGGGATGCCACTCATATTTTTGACACTGTAGCCTGGGGATACCGCTCGGGTGGGCTCATATGAGCGGGCGCTCTGTAGCCCATATTCCCGCTCATATGAGGGCACAGCCACATGTATAAGCAAGCCCTATGCCACCTTTGTATGATGCTCTTACTACTGCTGCTGCTTTGTAGCTACTACATCTATATAAAAGGATGTACCCTGTGTTGCCTCTCATATGAGCCCGTCGTCTATGTTGCCTCTCATATGAGCCCGTCGCCTATGTTGCCTCTCATATGAGCCCGTCGTCTATGTTGCCTCTCATATGAGCCCGTCGTCTATGTTGCCTCTCATATGAGCCCGTCGCCTGCGTCCTAACTCATACGGGCACAGCGCTCATGTTGTGTAATATCTAGATGGCTACTACGTCTATTTAAAAGCATGTACCCGGTGTTGCCACTCATATCGGCCTGTTGCCTGTGTTGCAGCTGATATGTGCACGTCGCCTGCGATGCCACCCATATTAGCACGTACTGTTTGCCATAGGGTTTAACATGGCGTGCATGGGTGTTCAAACATTCAAGGACTACAGAGGCTTCTTGCTCGTTTGATTTTCTATCTGGGTGTTGCATGACCATCCATACAGGCCACAATACTGAGGCCATGCGTAACTGGGGCGATGGCATAAAGACTCCGGTGTACACGTAGGCACGCTTCTTTAGAAAGCACGTGTGATGGGCGCGGCTGATATGTATACAGGCCCTTGTTTCCCCCCTCTGCCCATCTATCGCCCCTCTGCTCATCTCCATATCGCATATCCCAAACCTGTTCCATCCCCCTTGCCACCCCCCACAAACATGTCCGACACTTCCGACCATGTCCCATACATTCACATGCTCCCTGTAACCGTCCCAAACGACGTTCCTCTCGGAGTCAATATTCTCTTCGGAAAGCAGGTCCGTCGCCTACGCAACCGTAAGCAAGCAGCTGCTTACTTTATTCCTGCATCGAAACCACAGTGCGACCACTGCCTCTCTCGGAACGTAGACTGCAAATATTCCCGCTCGGTCGAAAGCACCATGCCGCCCACCCGTTGCGACAGCTGCTGGATCAATGGACGGACGTGCACGTATAATCTTCTCAGCGCCTACGGCGGCTTGACCAGTATGTGCACACGTTAAATAAGCTCCGTCTTTCATACTGACTTGGGATCGACAGTTGAGGACGACATGCCCCTATCCGCGCTGGCATATATGGACCGCGACGGCTTCCGTATCAATCCACGCCTGCAAGGCCGTGATCTGGTCTTGGCAGAAGGCGCCATTCGATACTTCCTGGCAAAAAGCTCTCCACAGAGCTACTCCGTGTTGGCGTGGCCCTGTGATGTTTTCAGGCCGATCTTCGGGGATGATGAAGCGTGGCCCATACTCGAACACTACAACTTTCCCGAAAAGTCCGCTATGAGGGCTTTGTCCATAGAAATGCTCGGCTATACTCTCCAACATCGGTGCCGACCACCAGTGATGCCCTGGGTTGTGGAAGCCTGTGGCACAGGCATGTGCCTTCCCATTGCGCCTTTCCGGCATCTCGATTACCTACGCCCACGGGTCAGCCCTCTCTGGCAGCACGAAGGGCCTGTACGCATTTCATGGCTCCAGCCTGAAATTACTGGCTTTCAGCAGTCTGGATCGCCTGGGTGGCATCCGTTGTCTCGTCCTGCAACCCCACCGCCCGCGTACCCTCAATTGCAGCCTATCCTCGACGAAGCCGGTGGAGAAACGCGCGACCACGCTGCTGGAACGCCAGAGTTGGAAGGCGGCACGTCTCATCCACAGCCCATCCCGTCCACCACCAGAGGAGTTGACATAGAACTCGACGGCAATTTTGGTCTACGCCGACCTGTATCATCACCTCCCCGAATCCCAGACGGCATCGTCTTGCCTCCCAGCCAGAGCATCACTCCCAACAACGAAAATACCCCAGAAGCCAACCAGGCAGGTGCCGGCCCCTCAGAGGCAGATGGCGGCCTGGTATACATCGACGTCGGTGGGGCTGAACGGCGGCTTAACCAGGTGGACATCGGCCAAGTCTCTGCGCACCGGAGCAGGTACTTGGGTGCAAGACACGCACTACTGGCGGGATCTCCCACCCCATGTTGGCAGCTTTACGAGATGGGCAGTGCCGCGATGGATGAGGAATTGGTCACTAATCTGCCGTTTGGACTGCTGGACCTGACGGACTCTGCACCAGGTTGGAACATTCGAAACGTAGACTTTCTCCGAGACGGGATGGGTGCTACAGACATGATGGTTGCAGGTTGGCATTGCTGGGACCTTGCGGCGCGAGCAGAAACACCGCGGAGAGGAGGCGAAAGTCAGTTGGCATCTGAATATGATTACATATAGTTTGTTGGAAAGTACTGTTATACGCATGTCAACGATGGAACGTGATACGATTCAAGTGAAGCTGCCCATTTGACTGTCCTGCCTGACATGAATGGCATGGGACTATGGCTTCCTGAGGTATGCTCTTCATGTTGTATCATCACCCTCCGTGCTTCATTTATTTCCAAAGCATTGCACATGTCGGCGACCCAATACAATATATGGACGGACTGGGTTGCTGTCTCGGAAATGTAATATTCGTATACAAAGCACACATGATCTACGGGGGGTGGCAGAGGCTAGAACGTTGTGTGTAATACATATCAGAGGCCAATGTTTTGAAGGCGGCAAGGACTCAGAACGCGCGTGTCCGATGACTGTGCTCCCTGAGAGTGCCGGGGTATGAGGGGCGTAGGCACTCCGAGCGCCCGTGTTTGGTGGGCGTGGGCACTCCGAGCGCCCGTCTGATGGGCATGGGCACTCCGAGCCGAGCGCCCGTTTGATGGCTGGCACTCCGAGCGCCCGTCTTTGATGGGCGTGGGCACTCCGAGCGCGGGGTATGGTGGGCGTAGGCACTCCGAGCGCCCGCATCTGATGGGCGTGGGCACTCCGAGCGCACATCTCTGACGTCTGTATACCATGCGAGGGCCAGTATGAAATGGCCATTTTGCACACGCCCGTGCGTCCCGAGCGTTGTCATCATGAAGAATGAAGCATAAAGGATTAAAAGCTTATGTAGGGTGTGTGTATAGCATACAATCCAGATCGCATTCTAGATACTTTGTGTATATGTACGGTAGCTAAGAGAGCTTGCGCTTCTTCGCCGTCGAATGTTCGATTTCGTTGTGCAAGATGCTTTCCGCCCGGTTTGGTTTGGAAAAGCTGCGAAATGCGGCCATACCTGTTGCAATAGAGGATGGCTTGTTTGGGGGCGCTCCCATCTGCCGAAATGCTGCCATACCCTGTAGAGGTATAGCATCGCCGGAGCCGGGCGCAGTCTGCGGGGTACGTTGCATGGCGGTTATTGCAGTGTGGTCAAATGGAACACCTGAGGAAGAAGGATTACTAGCAAACTGACGGAATGCCGCCATCCCGTGAGCCACAGGGCGAGGTAGATTGGAAGATGGTGCCATGGGTTGGAACGCCGCCATGCCATCAGTTCGGAGAGGCGTTGCTTCGATGGCGCCATCTGGCGGAGACTTGTGGATGTCGGCAGGGGCATTTACGCTGTCAGGATTGGTGCGGGCAGGAATATTGGGGGACCGGCAAACTGACGGAATGCCGCCATCCCGTGAGCCACAGGGCGAGGGGCATCGGAAGACGGGGCTATCTGCCGGAACGCCGCCATTCCATCGGGGTGTAGAGACGTTTCTTTGGTGGCAGCATCTCCCAGAGGCTTGCCGACGTCCACAGATGAATCTGAAGGCGTGGTCATCGTGATGGGGGAAGAAATGTTGGGCAGCCTTCGCATCGCCACCGTGTCTTGAACCACCCCTGGTGCTGCTTTTCTCTCGCTGCTCTCCGAATCTGGTTCGCTTGCGCCTTCGGAAGAGTGCCCGCAGCGTCCAGGAGCGGCGTTTTTGCACCATTCCCGTCAGTGGACTTTGAATCACCCTGTATCAAGAACGATTCATGTGATGTGTTGGGTACCAGTGAAAACCACACTTACAGGTGCATACACGGCGGGGCCACCGGCGGGGTTAAAGAAACCAAGTTTGCCGAATACATGTTGTGTCTTTGTCCTTGCCAGACTGCCTCTCTGAGAAGGGAGATGTGTGAATAGACCTGAAGGAGGATCGCGCACAAGACTCACCAGTTCCCAACATTTCACGCAGCCATCCATTACCTCCATGCGACTTGCTACTGCCCGCTCCGGCGTCCAAATATCCCGATCGTCATACAACATTCGTTGCATTGTGTTCAAGGTGATCGGACCGCACGAAATACCGTCACGTTGCCTTGGTGAAGCTATCGATGTAGCGTCGTGTATCCAGGGGTCTGAGCCGTCCGGTAGGCCGAGAAACTTGTCAATTGCTGTCCCAAGGAGTTGTACACCTTGCCAGACGGTCTTATCTGGGGACTTGGCGCCGCGGAGGGAATCGACGATCACGAACATGCGCGTGTCGAGGTCGAGCCGGACAGTGACCCAATGCCGTGATTGTGGAAGATGCCATGGGATGATTATTTGACCATGCGCCTTGTTACCGAGCTTGCGCAAAGCTTTTCGCAGCACGCGTTCCGATGTCTTCTCCTGGAGCACAAAGGGACAGAAGCCAGTCTGGGTTACGACTATTGGACGGCTCTCCGGGTCAAGAGTGGCATTTAGTACGTCGACACAGTCATTCAACGATTCGTCGTTGACCATATTGTCGCCGAGTATTCGTTGACACCGTGCCAACAGGTCCGAATTCAGAGCGGCGGCCTCGTACCAGTGCACTCGGACGAAGTGCTGAAGATCGCGTTGGTACGACGAAGGCGAGTTTTTCCGACAATAGTTGAAGCCTTTGACCCAGACATCACGAGCATTCCAGATTTCAGACATCGCCCGCCAAGTGGTGGCCGCCCAGGCGGGAAAAAGGACTTCTGGGGCAGCAGGGTGGATGAGCGAGGCGGGGCGTCCGTCCTGAAGCGCGATTTTGGAATCCGCAGGTATGGTGAAGTTGCGATGGTCGAGCTCCCATATGAACGACGGGTAGGTGCTCGGATCGGTGGGGGGAAGATGTGAGGTTCGCACGGAGCCGGTCATGCCGCGAAGAGAAGGCGGAGGGGGTGGGTAGGAACGTAGTCAAGTAGCTCCGCGATCCGAATATCCTCGGGGGGAAACAAGAGTGTCTTCAGGTTGGATGGTATGTCGACCGTATTCAATGTCGGCCACGTCGCTATTTGGAGGTCTTCTGGAACCCAACGAAACGGCTCCAGATGGACACAAGGCGTAGGTTCTATGGATGTGTCAGTGGAGTGAGAACGCATCAACATTACCAACACACCTGTGAAACCGTGTGACATTTTGTTTATGGAGCAATGAACTACACGTTGGGAGCTGGCAGTGTTGCAATCCGGGGCTTGTGGAAGCGTGGCAGAAAGACTTGCGTCACATGGTCGCGCCGGTCGTTTGGGCGCTAAACGCGGGCATGTGACGAGACGCGTAGGCGAACTTGAACCGCTCAACTGCACTCTGTCCAACCGCCAAGTCTTTGCCCATCCCCTGCTGCTTGCATCCACACTTCGACTAGCTTCCACATCCAGTCTGTCTACGAATATGTCTGGCGACACATCGACATCCTTGCCTGAACCGGTACAACAGACGCTTCGCCGCCACGCGAGCGCAATCCACTATGCCCTCCGCCACCTCCCCCCGAAGGCCACCACTCCACGGGATGTTTTGCAGCGGTGGGAAGACGGCTTGAAGAGTGCGGTGCAGGCAATCAGTGAGATATATCCCGACCATCACGCGAATATCACCATTCTGCCGAAGCTTGTACTCGGCGCGCTATACGAGTACGACTACGCCGGCTTCGTGGCCGAACAAGGTGTGCCATACGTTCCCAATCCTTGGAACGTCCGGGCGTTCGGGAAGGAGGATCCCCGGGAGGAAGGCTTTCCCTTCAGCTACCCCATTTCCGGCGATGACGACTGGAAGATCGGCTTCGTGCCCCTGAAGGACCTACAAGATGGTTGGGTTTTCGAATGTAAGTCGCTTCCGAACCTGCAGCAATCTTTTGAGCTAACGGTAATGTTAGGGAAAAGCGGAAAGGAGACGCGAGGTAAGTCCTAGACCTATCGTTATGCCGTTTTTTAATGTATTTGTTCAGATGCTGCCGTCCTCGACTCACAATTGGGTTGCAGTGGGGACGATATCAAGGATGCGCCGCCGCCATCTGCTGCGGAGCAGCTGGAGAAGCGTCGACGGGCGAAGGGGAAATCCGTGGCACGGTCCCCACAACCCAGTGGCTCAGGTGGAGACGGTGGGTTCATAGACGGCCCGCGTTCCCGCCTTGTCTTATACCTCCTTTGCAGACGGTAGCCACGTCCAGGATGTCGTCAAGCGGGGACGCACCCCTGGGCGTGATGGCCAGGCGAAAAGGCCTGCGCGTGCCCAGCAGTTGGACTACGTGTCTCCCCCCGACACCAGTAAGTCTTCCATGAACCGTCACCATATCATCTGACTCTTCGTCCTCAACAGACAAGAAGCGCAAACGGCGTGGTGCAGAGAGCGACGGTTCGTACGCAGTGTTCAGATCGGAGCTGCAACTAACGCTCGTTTCTTAGATGGTTCAGTGTCCCCCAGCCCACCGGTGAATCCTCGCGGGCCTAACAAGCGGCTTGTGCGGAAGCCGTCGAGGACCCGAGCATGGCCTCTCGAGCGACATCCCATTCTAAATCTCGTGCAACATCTCCGGCGACATCTCGGCCGTCCTCTCGCGCGTCCTCTCGCGCGTCCTCTCGCGCATCCTCTCGGATGACATCTCGCGGCACGTCTCGTGCTACGTCTCGTGCCGCATCGCGTGGGACGTCTGGGGTCAGGCTCGACAAAAGAAACGCCGCAGTACCAGAAAGCAGAAGGCAAGTCCTTTTGTGCATCACGAGAGGTACTTTCCCCCGCCAGTTCCTATCAGCCAATTCAAGACATACTACCCGCTGGCGACGCTGCCGCAGGTAAGTCGGTTTTGTGATAAATGCCTTCCTATATTCACCTAATCCCCGTGCAACTTGCAGGATATGAAATGCGGCCCCTGCAAGCGGCATGGAACACATGTCAGTTTTGGCCTCTGGGGGCACGGCATGTGTGTGCTGCCGGGACCGACGCGTTGCATGTGACGTCGTCCCGGCCATCGCAGGCGGGTATCCAACATCTGTCCTCGTCCGCACCCGCATGCTTCGCGTGGGATTATGACGGCCAATCCGAACGTCTTCCGCGATGTGACGTTGTATTCGAGGAAGTGGCGCAATGCACGGAAAGACGATACCCCAACCTGGATCAGATATCTCTCTGAGATTTGGAGGGTTGCAGGCAAAGAAGAGCACGAGGCGGCACAGAATCGCACTCGACCCGACACATTGGAATTCCGGGACAACGGCTTCATTCCGTACCCTGTGGCGCGGTTACGCTCGATGACACAGATGTTGCGCCAGTGAGTATGGGATCATGCTATACCCGGTTGGTGCTGATTATATCTCAGGGGATCCGGAATGGAACCCCAACGACAGGAACAAGCCGAAGGGGCGGCTCTACAACGACAGCGATGACGAGGAGGGCTTTTGTAAGTCACGATAATCGAATCGGTCGTTAACAAACTCATGCTATGTATTTTAGTTGAAACCGAAGAAGAATGGCTGGAGCAGCTGCGTAAAGGTGGGACACAGGCGCACCGAACACACGGCCACGAGCGACTGATGTTATTCATTCACAGCGAACGAACCGCAGGGCGAAAATGCTGGTATGGAAGACATTGCGCAGCCGCCGCGCCCTCGCAAACGGGCGCGAATCCGCAGCCCGGATGTGGAGAGCGAAGAAGATATGGAGGCGGAGAGCGCGCTGCCAGGACCCTCCGTAGCAAGGTACAACATTCCATCTCGAGTCCCAGGTATGCGACAACGTTTCGATATTGAAGGTGTGTTAACTAAACGCAGGACGCGATTTCTTCGCGATTCCAGAGTCCACCCTGCCCTCTGTCGACGGGCACAAGCGTTGGGAAGGCAGAGCAGCATCGCGGCCAGCGACCATGGCCGACTTGGAGGCGATTCGCACTGAGATTGCCAACAACAGCGAGCTGGTGCGACGCACACTTGCACAGAACCAGGGGCTTCAAGAGGACGTTGCCGCGTTGACTGCCAGAGTCCTAGAGCTAGAGCAAGTCAACCATACACTGATGACGGCGCCGACGCTTCTCTCGCCTTTCGTGTTCGATGCGACGGCGGACTTCAACGAACCGCCCCCCTCCACCCCCATTTTATGACAAATTTCGACGCGACTCTGCCCGCTCCCACCCCGTCTTTTCATAGTCCGCCCCCACCTCCGAAATCCGCGGCCACGACGCCTCCTGTATCATTGTCTGCCGCCTCGCCACCCGTGCCCCCTCACACTACGATCCCCGCACCTCTTTTCGCTCTGCCCAGTGCATCGGCAGGCCCAATTATACCCGCACATGGTAGCGAAGATCGGGCACGACCAACTTCTCCCTCACCATCGCCGCTGATTCCGAGGTTGTTGATGGTGGTTCCTCGACTGCCATCATACGCATCGTCTTCGTCGGACGAGAAAGCGGAGGAACACGCCTCCAGCTGCGCCGGCGCAACATCGGACAGGGCGTCGCATATGCCCATGGAAGTTAGCCAGCGGTCTCCTTCACCGACGGGATCTGGGGAGCGGGCGGTGCCTGTTCCTACACATGAAGGTTCGTCATCGGAGAGCTTTGAAAATGTTTGCAACTTACCCGATCCTACAGGATCCACTGCGCTGCATCGGGAAAGCGCGAACGGCACGAATCACCCTCCGATCGACTCATCGGGCCACGCCTCCCTCCATGGCGTATAATTGAAGACAGTACCGCGGTATTGGCGACTCGAGCAACGTCGGAGGTGCCTCTCGGTAGGGACAAGGACATTGCGATGGAAGGCCATATGCCCATGAGACAACGGCGTAGGTCGGCGTAACTTTAATTAGCATATCGTATTCTACACTCGCGCATTCAGAAATGTGTCACGCAATCGAAAGTTGGAGGCGCTATGTTCAAAATATGTGGGCCCAGCCTCCAAACAATGATTGGACGTGCGCGCTCGGAGTGCCTATGCGCAGCATACCCCCGGCGCTCGGAGTGCCCACGTCCACCATACCCGGGCGCTCGGAGTGCCTACGCCCGTCAGACACGGGCGCTCGAGTGCCTACGCCCGCCATACCCGGCGCTCGGAGTGCCCATGCCCATCAAACATGGGCGCTCGGAGTGCCCACGTCCCAAACACGGGCGCTCGGAGTGCCCTATCGCCCATCCAGACGCGGGCGCTCAGCCTCAGTGTACCCACGACCCCTCAAGGAACGTGGTCGCATCGTGGGGCGCGGTGCTCCCACACATAGCTAAAGGTTGGCGTGTCCACATTGCCTCTCCGTGTGCTTCCCATTCCCCCCCTCCCCCCCCCCACCCATGGAGGACGCGTTCTTAACCAAGCTCACCGCCTCCTCCCAACTTATGTACGCGCTCGTCTGAATCACCACAGCCGGTTCCCCAGTCAACCGTACCCACCGGAGATATGTCATGAAGGCGACGATATAGTGCTGCATGAAGGTTGTGTTCGAGCTGCTGATGTCGTGCCCTTGCCATTCGCAACACTGGTATGTGCGACTTCATATATAATTAGTCACCTCCTCATATTGCGGTAGTCAAGGTGCCCTTCAAATTGGAGGCGTTCGCAAAGTCAGTGCCTAGGGCGCACGGTTGCCCAAGCTGGGAAGAAATTGAAGCCCGGAACCGTGCTTTCCCTGTGCCGTTGCCAACAGACTCTGGAATTCCAGCGGCGCAAAGAAATGCAGCTGTAGTTGAAGACGAAGACGAACGCGTGCTAGCTTGGGTACTCCCAGCTATCCTCACAACAGCTCTGCAGGTGCGTCGTTCCAACATTGACCACAACACAATCTGACTGTGTGCAGAACGAGCTCAATGCGGCCAACGACAGGATAAGACATCTCTTTCAACCACCCAGCGATGATAAGTTGAACTGGCGTCTTCACACCACCCATTTCCGGAAGTGCAAGAACAATGGGGCTGGTATATGCGATATTGGACCGTTCAAGATATCACCATTTACCAAGCACGATGTAAGCAATATTGCTTTTGGAACCTTCATATTATTTTAACAGTGCTTGTAGATCTCAAATGTCCAGGCTAGTGCGAACTGGAAACGCCCAGAAATTACTCAATGGGTGCAAGATATTCAACGGCCTGGGGCACTTTTGGACGCACTTCTGAAACTGCTCCATCCTGCACAGTGGAGTGTTCTACAAGCTCACTTCCATTCCCACCTTGGATGTCAAACTTCCTGGCCAGTCACAGGGATCGCACTGCAAATCATCCATGACCGTATAACCCCATACCATGTTGATATCAACAGCTTCACCTCCATGTTCGATCTACTTGTAACTCTGGGTACATATGGAACTGATGGATACCTTGGCCTCCGTGGTCTGGGCTGTTCCTTCTGCTATTCCCCTGGTACTGTTGTCCTATTACTGGCGAACCTCATAGAACATGGAGTTCCCCAGGTGAATGGTTGCCGTACAGTTATGTCCTGGTACAATAGGAGGGAGATGATAAAGGTCTGGTCAGAAGGTGGACTTCCAGCATTTGATGTGACTATGATACCCAGGTTAGATGATGTGTTGGATATTCTAGCGATGTAGAGAAATAGCTACAAACTTTTGCTGTCCATGAATTGTTGCTACTAAGTGTTGGCGCCCCACGAGGCCTCTTTGATGCGGCATCTTCATCCATATTTGCACGTCGTTTCTTCTTGTGTTGTGGCACCTTTGAATGACTGACTGGCTTTGACATAGGTGTTGTTGAGACTTCATCAAAACCATTCTCGCCACCATCTCTAGCTGCCTTCATCTTTGCTGCAGGGACTGGGAGCCTGTTGCTTCGTCGGGTAGGGGCTGCCACATGCAATATAGATTGCACAGACGATGGTATGGGGGGAGGTTGTGCAGATCCAGAAGCAACTGAGTTCCCATTATTCTCCACTTCAGCCCGCCTCCTAGGAACAGGCCGAGGCTTTGGGGGGTGACTGGTAACAGCTGGGTGGTATGCATTTGCGAATGTTTCCAGAGCAGACATCCTTGTAACAAAGGAATTGTCGTCTGGCAGAAGAGTGGTCTGGCCCAGAGTGCAAAACTGGAAGTGGTCGAGCGTGAAGCTGGGGATGAGGGTTTCCTCTTCGTCTGGGATGAATTCGTTTAGAAACTGTAGGTCCCGCATTAGCAGTCCGATGGCGAGGCAGAACTGCTGAACCTGTATAGGTGTTCTTGTTGTCTGCACAGATTCCTTGCGAAGCCAGTCCAAGAGAAGACCATATGCACTTTCGTCGCGATATAGCAGCCCTCCAACATATCCGTTCGAGTTGTTCCATGTCGCCCAAGGTGCAGACTCGTTTGGTGGCACATCGACCTGCACATCCAGCTGTGTGGGTGTCTTTATCAGTTTATAGCCATCATTTACAATAATTGGCCTACACCACTGTGGACCCTGGTTAGCATGTCTTGGTAGGGTTGTGCATACCCGCTCTGTAAAGACTTGAGGAAGTTGGACCTTGCATTTGGAAAGGCCATTTTCAGAGCGTGAGATGGAGGCAGTCGACGTTCGTCAATGTTGCCATCACTGAGAGCTGAAGGGGACGCTGGAAGGTCATGGGGTTGGGCATCACTGAAAGAGACATTGCTGATGTTTGCCACAGCAGCTTCCACTGCATTTGTGTCGTCGTCGTCGTTGTCGTCAACAACACCATCGCTGTGGGGATGTGGATGCTGCTGTTCCCCTCCTAGTTGGGAGCCTTCGGGGAGATCCACTTCCTCATCGCTCGAAGACATGTGGGGAATGTGAATATGTTCTCCATCGTCGTCGGACGGACCATCTTGGAGCGTGGTCGAGTGTTCCTGCTGTCTTGTCTGCTGTTTTTGCCGGCGTTTCCCCTTTGCCTTGGCCCTTTTGAGTGATGCATTCTCAGTGACTTGTCGGAGGTTGGTCTCGGGCTGTGTTGGCTGTTTCAATGTTCTATATGTAGACTCCTTCAGTGTTTCTGAGCCCCGTGACCCAGCCCACACAAGTCGTAGGTGAAAGCGGCCTTCTGGTGGGAAGAAACGGCTTCCTGGATCCAAACCAGTGGAAGCCTCATCAATGGAGTTCAAAGATGCCAAAGCTATGTTCTCTCTTTGAATGATGAGCTCCGCCCACTCGATCAGGTCTGCATCACTGATTTGCTGTAACGTTTTCAGGATAAGGCTGAGCTTTGGGGTGTACCAGCCCAGGCCAAAGACGTTTTGCAACTCCGCAGCGAGAATTCGCCAAGGTGGGTGGTGGACGGACCGTGTCCCATGGCCCATGGCCAGGTCTATTTTAAATCAGGCTATATGACCTATTGTGACAAAGTTGTGGCTCACCGATATGGATGTTGAACCAGGCTGTCATAACAGTCTTGATGTTCAGACCCCCTCGCCACTGTTCAGCAGTTGGCATGAACAATACCGGCAAATTGTCACGCCACTCAAACGGAACATCTCTTGGTTGAGAAGGCTTTGACGCCTTCACTTTGATCTGATCCCATACACAGTATTAGTTGAAGTGTCCTACAGAATGCTGCTGCACTCACCCCAGAAGTCTTTCTGTATGAATCTGGTGTCCCTCCCTCCAGAATGGTATGAAATAGAGAGGAGAGAACCTCAAAAGGTCCATCGTCCCATTTGGGATGTTTGTCAGGTTCTGGCCAACGAGGTCCATTCTCCCCTCTCACAGAGGCTTTGTTCAAGTATGTTGTCACAGAGGACCTGGTATGCATGTCAACTGCCATCGTTGGAACTTAAATGGGGCGGACTACATACACCAAATGTCTGATCTGTCCATTGCTGTCCCGTCTAAGGCCATACACAAAGCAAGGCATGTTGCCATTTGCCATGAGGTATTCAACGACGTCCTCCATCGTGCGAGCAGCATTCTTCTCTGCCCATCTAAAATGCCTATTGTGGGCCCAAATTCTCAAATATGATTTCGTTACTCACAGGCGTTTCTCCTCATCAGTCCCACCATCATTCCTAAGCCTGTGCTCAAGCTCCTTCCAAGGCTGCTTCTCTTCCTCAGACAACTCTTCCCACATCCTGCTGGCTATAGCAGATGCGGCACCAACAGAGGTGTCGTTCTGGTCCCTTCCCATGGACCCAATGGCCTCCTTGGTATCTGGATCCTCCCTCCACAGCCAG